CTGTTCATAAGCCCCAATGAGTTCAATGGGATCAACTCTCAGGTCACTATTGTGCAGACCCTGCCATCCTTACGAAGTGGGGTGATTAGCAAACGGGAAACTGCAAGCACTGGAGATGTTTACAAATGGGGCTTCTGATGAGAAGGGGCTGCCCCACTTGTTCTTCTCCAGAGGCAGGAGAATATCTAGGGCAGGAGAATCCCTGCAGGGCCTCTGAGGCTCCCTTTGCTTCTTCCTCTCTCCCAGGACCCTGCAGCTTCTTCTGGCTCCTTGACTCCTCAGGAAGGATGAAAGAGACGCATCCTGCAAAGCTAGCAAGGATGGAAGGGGGAAGATGGACGGTTGACCTGGTCAGGTTGTCTCCTGCATCCCTCCTCTCAACCTCTGAGCGTTCCCTCCCAGGGACCTCCGAGAGATCTGGTGAGTCCCAGAGGAGTGGAGATGGGGACATGGAGGGATGGATGGAGGGTGGAAGAGGGGAAGCTCTCTGGCCAGAAATGAGATAAAGCAGGGATTTTACTGTGGAAGCTGTGGATGGGGCCCCCAACATTGGGAGGCTTCCCTCCAGCCAGAAAATCCCTGCAGGGCCTCTGAGGCTCCCTTTGCTTCTTCCTCTCTCCCAGGACCCTGCAGCTTCTTTTGGCTCCTTGACTCCTCAGAAAAATGTTGGCTTTTTGCAGTCTGGTAGCGCTGCAGAGAGCTTGCTGGGGAGACCATGCATTAAAAAGGGACTCAAAAATAACTTAAACAAGGTTTTAATAACAAAAACAAAAACTCCTTTTACACTAAATACATCAACAAAACAAACCAGACCCAACCACCAACCCATCCCCCAGGGTAATGGGAGAGCTAGGTGCAGCTCCTTATATACTACACCCAATTGCCAACACGGCTTAATCAATACAACTCAGCAGCACCTGCTATGTTTCACAGCTGTAAAGCTGGGTCTCGTTATCTTGCTCTGGCCCCTTAAAGACATACACATCGGGTGGAACAATGATGAACCTTTACATATAAAGAAACCATTCAACAGAAGGATGAAAGAGACGGATCCTGCAAAGCTAGCAAGGATGGAAGGGGGAAGTTGGACGGTTGACCTGGTCAGGTTGTCTCCTGCATCCCTCCCCACAACCTCTGAGCGTTCCCTCCCAGGGACCTCCGAGAGATCTGGTGAGTCCCAGGGGAGATGGGGACCTGGATGGATGGAGCCAGAGAGGAATTGGGGCTTGCTCAGCTTGGGGGTGGGGGGAGGCAGGCAGGCAGATGGAGATGGAGAAGGGGAGCACCTTTTTGGGCTCCCCCGCCTGCCTCCCTGCCTGCCTGCGCCTTTGTCATCTGCAGGCAATTTGAGCTAGGAATAGATCACAGCTCCCCAGCCACCGCGATGTACAGTGGTGCCCCGCAAGACGAATGCCTCGCAAGACGGAAAACCCGCTAGACGAAAGGGTTTTCCGTTTTTGAGTTGCTTCGCAGGACGAATTTCCCTATGGGCTTGCTTCGCAAGACAAAAATGTCTTGCGAGTCTTGAGATATTTTTTTCGCTTTTCCCCCCCTTTATCTAAGCCGCTAAGCCTTTAATAGCCTTTTAGCAGCTAATCTGCTAAGCCGATAAGCCTTTAATAGCCGCTAAACCGCTAATAGCGCTAATCCGTTAAGCCGCTAATAGGGTTGCTTCGCAAGACGAAAAACCGCTAGACGAAGACACTCGCGGAACGGATTAATTTCGTCTTGCGAAGCACCACTGTATTAGCAGCTCAAAATGTCTAAAACCAGTTCTATGATCTGAATGCCCTGCCAATGTCAGACACTGATCCGTCGCGCAGCACTAGAACCCACGACTCTTTTTTTAAAAAAATTGGTTTTCACATATTGTATTACAATACAGATGTACCAAAGCCAACACCATTTCCTCCCCATCCCCCCATCCATTTACATTTCTATTTCCTCAATCCATCATATTATCCTTTTCTCCATCCTCAAACATCCCTCCGCCCCATCGCGCAGCACTAGAAGCCACGAGTCTTTAAAGGAACCTGATCCTGCTTTGCAGATTGAACGCAGATGAGGCCTCCATGTATTGCTTTTTTCTTTTCTTTTTGGAATAACTTTTTATTTGCTTTTAAAAACAAGGAACATAGGAATAATAAAACATGTAGACCAAGCCTTCTCATGTCATTTCTATGTAAAATAGCAGAATAAATTTGCCGGAATATCTATAACATATAGTTTATCATTAGTGGTCAGTGTATGAGTTCTGGGTCCATGAATTGCTTTCAACTGAACCAAGAAAATAGGGGAAACAGGAGAGCACAGAGAACATTCAACATTGCAGAGCCAAATGCCTAGACTGAAGCTATTGTGGCCGTTGTGCTTAGATTAAGTGAGTAATAGTCATTTTTCCTCTTCTGTTACCAATGAAACAAGACAGAGTTGGTCTCATCATGAAAATGGGAGGGGGGGGTTCAAAGTGAAGAAAGAGATTTACGTATAAATTTAAATTTAGACCAACCAGATTGAGATAACTTCTGATGGGGAGTGTTCAGGTGAAGATGTTGCTGTTTGTTTCACAGACGAGGCGTGGACGTTGCTGGATGCTGACCAGAGAGCTCAGCATAAAGAATAATAATAATAATTATTATTATTATTATTTATTTATACCCCGCCCATCTGGCTGGGTTTCCCCAGCCACTCTGGGCGGCTTCCAAAAAAAATATTAAAATACTGTACTACATCAAACATTAAAAGCCTCCCTAAACAGGGCCGCCTTCAGATGTCCTCTAAAAGTCTGGTAGTTGTTGCTCTCTTTGACATCTGGTGGGAGGGCATTCCACAGGGAGGGCGCCACTACCGAGAAGGCCCTCTGCCTGGTTCCCTGTAACTTGGCTTCTCACAGTGAGGGAACCACCAGAAGGCCCTCAGCACTGGACCTCAGTGTCCGGGTAGAACGATGGGGGTGGAGACGCTCCTTCAGATATACTGGACCAAGGCCGTTTAGGGCTTTAAAGGTCAGCAGCAACACTTTGAATTGTGCTCGGAAACGTATTGGGAGCCAATGTAGGTCTTTCAAGACCGGTGTTATATGGTCTCGGCGGCTGCTCCCAGTCACCAGTCTAGCTGCCGCATTCTGGATTAGTTGTAGTTTCCGGGTCACCTTCAAAGGTAGCCCCACGTAGAGCACATTGCAGTAGTGCAAGCGGGAGATAACCAGAGCATGCACCACTCTGGCGAGGCAGTCCGCAGGCAGATAGGGTCTCAGCCTGCGTACCAGATGGAGCTGGTCAACAGCTGCCCTGGACACAGATTTGACCTGTGGCTCCATGGACAGCTGTGAGTCCAAAATGACTCCCAGGCTGCGTACCTGGTCCTTCAGGGGCACAGTTACCCCATTCAGGACCAGGGAATCCTCCACACCTGCCCAGCTCCTGTCCCCCCAAAAAAGTACTTCTGTCTTGTCAGGATTCAACCTCAATCTGTTAGCCGCCATCCATCCTCCAACCGCCTCCAGACACTCACACAGGACCTTCACCGCCTTCACTGGTTTTGATTTAAAAGAGAGGTAGAGCTGGGTATCATCCGCATACTGATGAACACCCAGCCCAAACCCCCTGATGATCTCTCCCAGCGGCTGCATGTAGACGTTGAAAAGCATGGGGGAGAGGACAGAACCCTGAGGCACCCCACAAGTGAGAGCCCAGGGGTCTGAACACTCACCCCCCCCCATTTTCTGAACACGGCCCAGGAGGAAGGAGTGGAACCACTGTATGACAGTGCCCCCAGCTCCCAGCCCCTCTAGACGGTCCAGAAGGATGTTATGGTCGATGGTATCAAACGCCACTGAGAGATCCAGCAGAACTAGGAAACAGCTCTCACCTTTGTCCCTAGCCCGCCGGAGATCATCAACCAGTGCGACCAAGGCAGTTTCAGTCCCATGATGAGGCCTGAATCCCGACTGGAAGGGATCCAAATGGTCTGCTTCTTCCAGGCGTGCCTGGAGTTGTTCAGCAACCACTCGCTCAATCACCTTGCCCAAGAATGGAAGATTTGAGACTGGGCGATAGTTGGCCATCATGGCCGCATCTAAAGATGGTTTTTTAAGAAGCGGTTTACTAACCGCCTCTTTCAGCGGGTCTGGGAAGGCTCCCTCATGGAGGGAAGCATTCGCCACCCTGCGAAGCCCGTCGCCCAGCCCTTCCCGGCTAGCTTTTATTAGCCAGGATGGGCAAGGATCAAGGAGACAGGTGGTTGGTTTCACTCGTCCAAGCAGCCTGTCCACATCCTCAGAGGTAACAGATTGGAATTGATCCCACACAATTTGACTAGACAGGACTCTAGCACTCTCTCACTCCGGCCCTGTTCGCACGGGGGAGTCTACCTCTTCCCGAATCTGAGCGACTTTATCTGCAAAAAACTTTGCAAAATCATTGCAGGAGATCATGTGGCCCATACTGAGCCCCGATGTAGCAGGTGGTTCCGCTAAATTGCGAACCACCTGAAAAAGTCTCCTGCTGCTGTTTTCTGCAGATGCAATAGAGGCGGTGAAGAAAGTCTTCTTCGCCGTCGCTACCGCCACTTGGTAGGCTCGACATTGAGCTCTAACCCGTTTCTGGTCAGCTTCAGAATGAGTTATCCGCCACCGGCGCTCTGGCCGTCTCAACGATTGTTTCATTGCCCTCAGATCCGTGGAAAACCACGGGGCTGTCCGGGCTCCATGCAATCGGAGAGGGCGCTTTGGAGCCAAACAGTCAATAGCCCTGGTTAACTCCACATTCCAGCGGGCCACCAGGGAATCAGCTGAAAGGCCATCAACTTGGGATAAAACTGTTGGAAAACTAGCCCCTTTCAGGAGAGGCTGGCAACTCTCCCAGACTCCCAGGCTGTTTACCGGTTGATCTACTCTGGCTGCCATCCCAGACAGTCCAGGCAGACCTTGATAGGCGACATTTCCCAGCGTGGAAAATCCCCTTCGCAGGGGAAAGAAGAATAGTCAGAAAGTCCTTTTTACATCTTGTTTATTTCTGACGTTACAGCTCTACAGAAAACGTGTCCGATCGCTTCAGTCTCCTTCTAGCAAGTGGCAAAGACTTCCTTTACAAACGCAACAGGAAGGTCTCATATTACACACAGAACACAGCTTTGAGTAGCCTGTGAACTTCCGGGAAGATTCTTTCCCACAGCTAGCCACATCACATGATGTCAACATCAAGCTAGCAGTTTGCAGCTGTGTTGTATCCATATCGTAACAAAAACATCCCCTACCACTCTCTGGAAGCCAATTGGATCCATTAAGTGGCGGGGGCGGACCATCCGAATCGGTCCCACCTCCCTGCAGAGGGGAAGGGTCGCGGAGAAGTCCAGTTGCACCAGGAAGTGATCTGACCATGGCACTTCTTTTGTTTCGCTTTTAGTTAGTGTCAGATCACCAACATCCGTAGAGGTAAACACCAAGTCTAAGGCATGTGCACGGCTATGAGTTGGGCCAAACTTTTTCAGGGACAGCCCCATGGAGGCCATGCTTTCCACGAAGTCCCGAGCGGCCCCTTGTAAGGTCGTGTCGGCATGGATGTTAAAATCCCCCAGGACAACCAAACTAGGTGTCTCCAGGAGCATATCCGCCACGACCTGAAGCAGCTCGGGCAGGGAATCCTTGTTGCAGCGGGGAGGTCGGTACACCAAAAGGAATCCTGTACTGCCCCTATTGCCCAACTTCCAGAACATGCACTCAGAGAACCTAGTCTTCCCAATAGGACGCTTGGTGCAGACTAATGACTTCCTAAAAATCACTGCCCCCCCCCCGCCCACAAGGCCTGGATTGCTGTGCGTAAGAGAAACCTAGTGGACAAGCAGCGGCAAGGACAGGCCCATCTGCTTCATCCAACCAAGTCTCTGTTACACATGCCAGGTCAAGTCCTCCATCCATGATCAAGTCATGGATGGCAGTGGTTTTATGAATCATTGACCTGGCATTGCACAGCAGCACCTTCAGGTCATGTGGGTATCCCTTGCTGATTCTAGTATCCATCCGGTCAGGACCAGACCCGGAGGCAGGGATAGTCCTCAGACAACGACTACACCTGCCTCCTCTAACGACATGGTCTGGTCTTAGTGTAACTCCTCCTCCTACCCGTGATCACTGAGATCGGTTGTCCCAGTGCATCGCCCCCTGTGGAACATGCTCCAGCCATTTTGTTGGCTGGGACCCACTCCCCGGCAGCCCTGACCCCTCCCCTTAAGAACAAAATAAAACCTTTTAAAAACAAAAAAACACCAAAATCAAACAAATTCCCAGGCCCAACCAAACATCCACCCCACCCCACCACCACCCCCCACATACAAAAAATTCAAAAGAATTTTTAAAAAACATTTTAAAAAGAACTCTGCGCCCCCCTGAGTCCTTCTGGACAGCAGCAGCAGTAACAGCAACCGTAGTTGTGAGGCCTGTCAGGCCCTGCCTTGGGCCAGATGGTGAGTGGCAAGAGCAGGGCCCTCAAGCACTCACACAGGGGAGGTCAAGGAGAAGTCAAGGAGGAGAATCGTGGGATCATGGACTCTCTCAGTAAGGATCCCTGTTGGATCATAACATGTTGTGATTGGAGATGGAGTGGATTCCATGATTGAGCCACAAAAATATCCATCCCAGATAAAAGCCAAGCAATATCTCAGTTAATACCAGCCAACTAAGGAAGTGAAACCTATAGGACGGCCTCACATCTCATTCTCTTCAGTTCTTCCTCTGTCACAAGCATTCATTAACATTGTTCAATAATCTGGAGCTCCCATTTCCTCCTGAGACTAATTAGCTTCTCTCTTCATTGCAGATGGTGATGAATCAGAAGGGAAGAACAAGGGGAGCACAACAGAATCCCCATAGCAGAGAAGTCATATAAATATTCAGAGTGTGGAGAGAAGATCCGTCAGAGTTCCCAGTCCACCTCCCATCAAAGAAAGAGCTTCATTCGAAGGAATACCCTGACTTCACATGAAAGAACACAGAGTAGGGAGAAATTGTATCGGTGCAGAGTATGTGGAAAGAACTTCAATCGAAAGGGTAATCTAACTTTGCATCAAAGAGTTCATACAGGGGAGAAACCATATAATTGCTTGGAATGTGGAAAGAGCTTCAGTCACTGGGGGAATCTCACTTCCCATCAAAGAGTTCATACAGGGGAGAAACCGTATCAGTGCTTGGAATGTGGGAAGAACTTTAGTCACCGCCAGAATCTCGCTTCTCATCAAAGAATTCATACAGGGGAGAAACCGTATCAGTGCTTGGAATGTGGAAAGAGCTTCAATCGGAAGGGTCACCTCACTTCCCATCACAAAATTCATACAGGGGAGAAACCCTATCAGTGCTTGGAATGTGGGAAGCGCTTCAGTCAGGAGGGGAATCTCACTTCTCATCAAAGAATTCATACAGGGGAGAAACCCTATCAGTGCTTGGAATGTGGAAAGAGCTTTCGTCTGAGTGGTGATCTCACTTCCCATCAAAGAATTCATACAGGGGAGAAACCCTATCAGTGCTTGGAATGTGGAAAGAGCTTCAGTAAGTGGGTGAATCTCACTTTTCATCAAAGAATTCATACAGGCGAGAAACCCTATCAGTGCTTGGATTGTGGAAAGGGCTTCAGTCGGAAGGAAAGTCTTACTACCCATCAAAGAATTCATACAGGGGAGAAACCCTATCAGTGCTTCGAATGTGGAAAAGGTTTTTGTCTGAGTGGTGATTTGACTTCCCATCAAAGACTTCATACAGGAGAGAAACCGTATCACTGCTTGGAATGTGGAAAGAGCTTTCGTCTGAGTGGTGATCTGACTTCCCATCAAAGAGTTCACACAGGGGAAAAAACCCTATCAGTGCTTGGAATGTGGAAAGAGCTTTCGTCAGAGTGGTCATCTGACTTCCCATCAAAGAATTCATACAGGGAGAAACCCTATATGTGCTTGGAATGTGGGAAAAGCTTCCGGGAGGGCCACAAGCTCACTTCCCATCAAAGAATTCATACAGGTGAGAAACCCTATCAGTGCTTGGAATGTGGAAAGAGCTTCAGTCAAAGTGCCGCACTCTCTTACCATCACAGAATTCATACAGGGGAGAAACCCTATCAGTGCTCAGAATGTGGGAAGCGCTTCAGTCAGGAGGGGAATCTCACTTCTCATCAAAGAATTCATACAGGGGAGAAACCCTATCAGTGCTCAGAATGTGAGAAGAGCTTCAGTCGGAAGGATAGTCTCACTTCCCATCAAAGAATCCATACAAGAGAGAAAACGGTTTAGTGTTTGGAATGTGGGAAAAGATTCGTTCATGGCCCACCAAATAATTCATACGGGGTTGAAAGCATATCAGCACACGGAATGTGTATAAAATTTCACTTGTTCAAAAGTCAATTTAAGATCTCACACCAGGGTGAAGTATAGAATTATAGATTCAGAATCTAGTCCAGCCCCTCCAGAAATCTCATTTCAAGCATCCATGACAGGTGGCCATCCAACTTCTTCTTAAAACCCCCAATGAAGGTCCACCCCTTCTGAGAGAGTTCCTTTTCACAGTCAGCTCTTACTATCAGAGAGAAAATATAAAAAGACTTTGGAGAAGACTTCCGGTGTGATGGCCTATGGCGTTTGGCTGCTTTCCCAGGACACCGGACCCTAGTCGTGCAATTAAACAAGGTGAATCTGGGGGTAATTATCCCTGTTGAACCCTGCAGGGATGGGGCGCACATGCCATCCGATATCTGCTGCTCGCTACAGTGGAGGCAGGGGCGCTGGGTGTTTAGCATTGCACGAATTGGAAAATCTCCAATGCCAACGCCATGAGCGGGAGCATTCCTGTTTTTCAACAAAGATTTGAATTTGGACTTTGAAAGGACTTTTGTCGCTCTGCTACAGAAGATGTGAAGTGAGCGTCTCATCTTTGCTTATACTTGCTACTGTTGGGCCAACGCCCTCCCTCATTTGTCTGAATGGTGAGGAACTTCGCCCGTAGTAGCAGAGTACAGCAGAAGCAGACTCTGGCTGGAAAGCAGCATCGAGAAGATAAGAAGGCAACAGAGCGACGAGCTGACTCACGCAGCCGTATCCTTCAGCAAAAGCCAGATGCAAGGACCAGAGGGGAGGAGGAGGAGATATAGAAATCGCTCCCGTTCTCACACAACAATACATTAGGTAATTAGGCAATTAAAGGCACAGTGTCACACTGTGCAATGAAAGAATGAAACACTGCAGTACTGCCAGCTACTTCATGATTTGGCAAGCCTCGTGGAGAAAGATTCAATTAATTATTTTTTTTTTTTTATAATTGATATTTATTAAATTTTCAAAGGATAACAACGGAAATTTCCAAATAAAAATTGAAAATAGAAAAATAACAAAAGGAGTAAAAAAATATTGAAGAAAAAGAAAAGAAAACCCAGCCGCAAAAAAGAAAAAAAAAGAGAATCAGAAAAACAGAAATATATAGTTCTTTACGATCTCCATTAACTTCCTTTCTAGACTTCCTCCACCTCCCCTCTCTTGTTTCTTAGTTTTTAATTTTCACAGCAAATCCTTTCTGTCTTTTTTTTTTCCCATAACAATCTATCATTACATTTCCTTATTCTATTTTCCCTCTTGTCATATAAAAACTTTAATTCAATATTCAATATTTAGCAAATTCTTACATCATTACCTTTTTACAAATCATTTAAGAAATCCTTACTTAAGCCATATAATTTCATTCAACACCCTTCAAACATTTATAAACATTCCCAATATTAAAAAATAAGAAAGAAAAAATAATAAATCAAATTCAGTCCAGTCAACTTCCAACCTCCCCTCCCCAGGACCCGAGATTGTCAGTCCTTTTAACCTCAATAGTCCAGCTCGTTAACCTGGTTGTCTCGTATCCGAGGCCCTCAAGTCTCTTTCTTGCCCCTTTCGCCGCTCTTGTTGATATTTCCCTTTCAGTCGTGAAGACTCCAGCAGAAAGATGCTTTTGACTCTTTGCAGCAAGTCCATTCCAGACCCATTACCCAAGCCAGAGAACAGATAGTGCCAGTTCCATTTTCCACAGAGCTTGGAGACTTCAACTACTCCAATCTTCTGTTGGTCCATCAGATTTGCCCCAAGTTCATTTATCAAGTTCAAAAGCTGATCTTGCCCATCCAATGATCCCTCCATCTCTGAAGCCTCCATCGCTACAGCAGGTTCATATTCTTGTGTAGACTTTAACTGAATTTCATTTGTTTGCTGCTGTGCTCTGGTAACTTCCATCATCAAGGTCGACTCCTGACACATCTGGTCCAGCTGGGCACTTAATTTTGCAAAACCTTCCAGGAACACTTGTTCAAGCCTTTGTACAAGCATTGTCCTTCAAGGTCACAGAAAATTCTTTCCCACGAGAATAGTTCTTCATTTTAAACTCTCTGCATTGCAATTTCACTCAGTTCCACTAGATGGAACAAGTTTTACTTTTGCAACAATCTTACTTTTTCCAAAAACACTTTGTCCAGGATTCCCCCTAAGGGGCAACAGTAGAGTCAAAATGTTACCCTTCTTTTAACTATCTGTTGAGCTGGATAAGCTTCAAAACGTCAATTCTGACAGCCCGCTCCTGGTTCAGGGCGGTGGAAAATTACTTTATTTTAAACTCACTTCCGCAGGGTTAAAAAAAAAAAACCAAAACCACCCCCTTCTTCTCCTGCAGTCAAAGGGGGGTTCAGAAATCTTAGATGTTGAATTTTAGTTCTCTCCAAATTTAATTTTCAAGCTTTAGTATAATTTGTCTTTGCTTTCTTCACATAACAAAAGAACGGAAGGATGACTTCCTGTTTAGACCTTTCCGTTCCGAGTCCCAATTAAGTTCAATTTCAAGTCCAAATCCAATACTATTTATTTATTCTCCAATCTTAAAAGTAGTTCAGCTCTTCCAAGATCAGGTACTCACGGATCGATATTTTAGATGCCAAATTGTCCAGGAAGAAGGCAGCGCTCTCCGAAAACGGCAGTGCGGCTTTGCTGCACGGAGGAAGCAGTCGACTCACAGCACCACGCACCTCCGCTCCGGAGCCCGCTGCCGGGCTCCTGTACAAGGAGAGAGCGCTCTCGGTGCCCGCCGAGTCCCACGGCCACAGGCTTCTTCCGCAAGATTCAATTAATTAAATGGAATGCAAGTGAAACTTCATTAAAAAAACTTGAGAATTTGATGTTTAATGGTGCGGTCCTTTGTGGAGGGCTCTAATTATTATTGGCAAGGTATCAGCTTGTTTGAAGATATGGAGAGACTTTGTTGAAATGCCGTGTTACCAGAGAATGAGGCTGTAATTTCAACTGCGTCACGCGCCATCTTCTCTCCCTTTTTTGTTATTGTTTGAGTCTAGATAGAGAGTAATCTGGCGTCCCGCCAAAGCTCTGGCAAGACTCCAGCTTCTCCTTCCGTCCAACTCTCTCAATAACGATCTGGCATCCTGCCAAAGCCATAGCCGATCATCAAAGCTCAAATTCCATTTCCTTCCAAAGGAATACAGTGAAAGTCCATCTGCTTGCATGGACTTTTGTCATATATGGATTTATAAAAGTGAAGGTGAATCTTTGATCTTTGTAATCTTCCCTTAGGGCTCAGGGGGAGCAAGCTTGGATTCTAGAGGAACCAAACAAGTATTAACTGTGAAATCTATCCCACAGTGTGGTCTCTTACAAAAGATTCTTCGGTTTGGGAAAATATCAGTCAGTTAAAATACATTACATGTGTCTTAATTTTAACTAAACAAAGGAAAGCTGGAAGACAGCCCAGAGTCCTGGAAGGTAAGACAGTGGAATGAAATAGGGCCTTCTGTTTTTTGTTTTTTTTAAATGATTTTTATTAAGGTTTCAGTAAAAAGTTAAACAGAAAAACATAAAAAAGAAATACACAAATACACAGTACATAATCCAAAAAAGAATAATCCATTTTTAAATTTACTTATTTTCTGGACCTCCTCATACCTCCCTCTTTTGTATTCCAGTCCAAATTGTTTGTCCAGCAATTTCTTTTCCACTTTTTTAATCCCAATCTTTAATCTTAATGTAATATAACATTAAAATTTTACCTCTTAAGTACCAAATTTCCATTTCCTTAAACATCTTTAATCCTAATCTTTAATCTTAGTCTATCTATAACTTTAAATCCTGTACAGCTGGAAACCACTTATTTTCAATTCAACATCACTCTAACATTCTTTAATTTTGCAGTGTTTCTGAAGATAATCTTTGAATTTCTTCCAATCTTCCTCCACCAAGTCTTCTCCCTGGTCACGGATTCTGCCAGTCATTTCCGCCAGTTCCATATAGTCCATCAGTTTCATCTGCCATTCCTCCAGCGTGGGAAGTTCTTGTGTCTTCCAATACTTTGCGATGAGTATTCTTGCTGCTGTTGTTGCATACATAAAGAAAGTTCTATCCTTTTTAACACCATTTGGCCGACTATGCCCAGGAGAAAGGCCTCTGGTTTCTTGGGAAAGGTATACTTAAATACCTTTTTAATTCATTATATATCATTTCCCAGAAAACCTTAATCTTTGGGCACGTCCACCAAAGGTGAAAAATGTACCTTCAGTTTCTTTACATTTCCAACATTTATTATCGGGCAAATGATAGATTTTTGCAAGCTTGACTGGGGTTATGTACCACCTGTATATCATTTTCATAATATTCTCTCTTAAGGCATTGCATGCCGTAAATTTCATACCTGTGGTCCACAACTGTTCCCAGTCAGCAAACATAATGTTATGTCCAACGTCTTGTGCCCATTTAATCATAGCTGATTTTACCGTTTCACATTAACTGTGAAATCTATCGCTCTTACAGAAGATTCTTCAGTTTGGGAAAATATCAGTCAGTTAAAATACATTACATGTGTCTTAATTTTAACTAAACAAAGGAAAGCAGGAAGACAGCCCAGAGTCCTGGAAGATAAGATGGTGGAATGAAATAGGGCCTTCTGAGGAGGGACTGCACCGAAAACAATTGATGGACAACAACAAGAAGAGCACAATTTTCATCATGCATGTTAATTTAGATATAGATCTGTTAAATATGATGAAAGTTGCATGCCAGTGGCTGTCAAGATAAGATAAAGGATTAAGATCGGGATGATATTGGGAATAAATAAAAGAGAGAAAAGTAGGAACAAGAACCAAAAAAAATAAATAAACCTCATCAATCTTTGACTTTTGTCTTCTGGGTTTCCCAGTTTTTATTCTGTCTCTCACAGCTACAATAAACCTACCATTAATATTGTGGACTAGGCATTTCTTCGTCAGAGGGCAAAAAACCCAAATTAAGCGGGGGATCAAATACTTTCCCCCCTCACTCTAGATGTTTACACTCACACACGCACCTGGCTCTCATTTGGAGGAGGAGTGAGAGACGGAGGCACTTTACTTCTAGAATGGCATTTCCCTCGCACCTCCTTTCCTCCCAGGAGCTCCTCCTTCCACAACCCTGCCAGGCTGGCCGCTTGCCTTTCACCCCCTTTCCAGCACTGCGTGGCTTAGTGTGGCAGCACCTGCCCTTTGGAACTCCCCGCCTCTTGCAATAATAATAATAATAATAATTCTAGAATGGCATTTCCACGGCACCTCCTTTCCTCCCAGGAGCTCCTCCTTCCACAACCCTGCCAGGCTGGCCGCTTGCCTTTCACCCCCTTTCCAGCACTGCGTGGCTTAGTGTGGCAGCACCTGCCCTTCGGAACTCCCCGCCTCTTGCAACACATAATAATAATAATTCTAGAATGGCATTTCCCTCGCGCCTCCTTTCCTCCCAGGAGCTCCTCCTTTCACCCCCTTTCACCCCCTTTCCAGCACTGTGTGGCTTAGTGTGGCAGCACCTGCCCTTTGGAACTCCCGCCTCTTGCACATAATACACAACAATAATAATAATAATAATAATTCTAGAATGGCATTTCCCTCGCGCCTCCTTTCCTCCCAGGAGCTCCTCCTTTCACCCCCTTTCACCCCCTTTCCAGCACTGCGTGGCTTAGTGTGGCAGCACCTGCCCTTTGGAACTCCCCGCCTCTTGCAATAATATATATAATAATAATAATAATTCTAGAATGGCATTTCCCTCGCACCTCCTTTCCTCCCTGGAGCTCCTCCTTCCACAACAACCCTGCCAGGCTGGCCTCTTGCATGTCGCCCCCTTTCCAGCAGGCGAGGCTGCAGGGGCCACTCACTTCCTGGCCCTCCAAAAATGGAGGAGGCCTTTGACCCTGGATGAGCCTGAGAGGAGCCTTGAGGGGGGCAGAGAGGGCTCTGCCCCTTCCCAGACTTTTCCGCCATCCATTTATTAGTACTGTTGATTAAACTTAGGCCTCTCGGGGCTCTGGCACCCGGCACAGTTATTTCAAATGATCTCAAACCCTAAAATGGATTGACAGGTAACTGACAGACGTGGATGATCTCTAGAGATATAGGGCAGCTGCCGGATGCCCCCCTTGGTTGGGCCTGTGATGGACAGCAGAGCCAGGCCAGTCAGCGGACTTAGTCCCTCAGAAATTTCCTGGAGCCGCGGTCTGATTGGCTGCCAAGCCAGCGGGGGGCGGAGCCAGCCCTTTTGGCGGGAAGATGCAAGGCGCCTTTTCTGAGGTGGGAGCTTGGAGGGGAAGGTGGGGAGGAGAGGAAGAGGAGTCAGGCGGGAGTTCAAGGGGAGAAGCTGGGGGGAGGGAAGGGAGACCCCCAAGAAGGAGGGCTGAGGGGACCCCCTGGGTGTGGGGGGCGGACTGTGAGGGGGCGGAGGGAGACCCCCAAGAAGGAGGGCTGAGGGGACCCCCTGGGTGTGGGGGGCGGACTGAGGGGGGAGCGGAGGGAGACCCCCAAGAAGGAGGGCTGAGGGGACCCCCTGGGTGTGGGGGGACGAGGAGGGAAGGAGACCCCCAAGAAGGAGGGCTGCGGGGACCCCTGGGTGTGGGGGGCGGACTGAGGGGGGGGGGAGGAGACCCCAAGAAGGAGGGCTGAGGGGACCCCTGGGTGTGGGGGCGGACTGAGGGGGAGGGAAGGGAGACCCCAAGAAGGAGGGCTGAGGGGACCCCTGGGTGTGGGGGGCGGACGGCGGGGGGAGCGGAGGGAGACCCCCAAGAAGGAGGGCTGAGGGGACCCCCTGGGTGTGGGGGGCGGACTGAGAGGGGGGGCGGAGGGAGACCCCCAAGAAGGAGGGCTGAGGGGACCCCCTGGGTGTGGGGGGCGGACTGAGAGGGGGGGCGGAGGGAGACCCCCAAGAAGGAGGGCTGAGGGGACCCCGGGGTGTGGGGGCGGACTGAGGGGGGCGGACGGAGACCCCCCAAGAAGGAGGGCTGAGGGGACCGACTGGGTGTGGGGGGGCGGACTCAGGGGGGGAGGCAAGGGAGACCCCCACGAAGGAGGGCTGAGGGGACCCCTGGGTGTGGGGGCGGACTGAGGGGGAGGGAAGGAGACCCCAAGAAGGAGGGCTGAGGGGACCCCCTGGGTGTGGGGGCGGACTGAGGGGGAGGGAAGGGAGACCCCAAGAAGGAGGGCTGAGGGGACCCCTGGGTGTGGGGGCGGACTGAGGGGGGCGGAGGGAGACCCCCAAGAAGGAGGGCTGAGGGGACCCCCTGGGTGTGGGGGCGGACTGAGAGGGGAGGGAAGGAGACCCCCAAGAAGGAGGGCTGAGGGGACCCCTGGGTGTGGGGGCGGACTGAGGGGAGGAGGAGACCCCCAAGAAGGAGGGCTGAGGGACCCCTGGGTGTGGGGGCGGACTGAGGGGGGAGGGAAGGAGACCCCCAAGAAGGAGGGCTGAGGGGACCCCTGGGTGTGGGGGCGGACTGAGGGGAGGGAAGGGAGACCCCAAGAAGGAGGGCTGAGGGGACCCCCTGGGTGTGGGGAGCGGACTGAGGGGGGGAGGGAAGGGAGACCCCCAAGAAGGAGGGCTGAGGGGACCCCCTGGGTGTGGGGGGCGGACTGAGGGGGGGAGGGAAGGGAGACCCCCAAGAAGGAGGGCTGAGGGGACCCCCTGGGTGTGGGGGGCGGACTGAGGGGGGAGCGGAGGGAGACCCCCAAGAAGGAGGGCTGAGGGGACCCCCTGGGTGTGGGGTGCGGACTGAGAGGGGGGGAGGGAGACCCCCAAGAAGGAGGGCTGAGGGACCCCTGGGTGTGGGGGCGGACTGAGGGGGAGGGAAGGGAGACCCCAAGAAGGAGGGCTGAGGGGACCCGGGGTGTGGGAGGCGGACTGTGGGGGGGGGGAGGGGAGACCCCCAAGAAGGAGGGCTGAGGGGACCCCCTGGGTGTGGGGGGCGGACTGAGAGGGGAGCGGAGGGAGACCCCCAAGAAGGAGGGCTGAGGGGAACCCAGGGGTGTGGGGGGCGGACTGAGGGGGGGGGAGGGAAGGGAGACCCCCAAGAAGGAGGGCTGAGGGGACCCCCTGGGTGTGGGGGGCGGACTGAGAGGGGGGAGCGGAGGGAGACCCCCAAGAAGGAGAGCTGAGGGGACCCCCTGGGTGTGGGGGGCGGACTGAGGGGGGGGAGGGAAGGGAGACGCCCAAGAAGGAGGGCTGAGGGGACCCCCTGTGTGTGGGGGGCGGACTGAGAGGGGGGAGGGAAGAGAGACCCCCAAGAAGGAGGGCTGAGGGGACCCCCTGGGTGTGGGGGCGGACTGGGGGGGGTGGGAAGGGAGACCCCCAAGAAGGAGGGCTGAGGGACCCCTGGGTGTGGGGGGCGGACTGAGAGGGGGGCGGCGGGAAAGGAGACCCCCAAGAAGGAGGGCTGAGGGGACCCCCTGGGTGTGGGGGGGCGGACTGAGGGGGGGAGGGAAGGGAGACCCCCAAGAAGGAGGGCTGAGGGGACCCCCTGGGTGTGGGGGGCGGACTGAGAGGGGGAGGGAAGGGAGACCCCCAAGAAGGAGGGCTGAGGGGACCCCTGGGTGTGGGGGCGGACTGAGGGGGGCGGAGGGAGACCCCAAGAAGGAGGGCTGAGGGGACCCCTGGGTGTGGGGGCGGACTGAGGGGGAGGGAAGGAGACCCCAAGAAGGAGGGCTGAGGGGACCCCTGGGTGTGGGGGCGGACTGAGAGGGGGGGGGAGGGAAGGGAGACCCCAAGAAGGAGGGCTGAGGGGACCCCCTGGGTGTGGGGGGCGGACTGAGAGGGGGGGAGGGAAGGGAGACCCCCAAGAAGGAGGGCTGAGGGGACCCCCTGGGTGTGGGGGGCGGACTGAGGGGGGGAGGGAAGGGAGACCCCAAGACGGAGGGCTGAGGGGACCCCTGGGTGGGGGGCGGACTGAGGGGGGAGCGGAGGGAGACCCCCAAGAAGGAGGGCTGAGGGGACCCCGGGGTGTTGGGGGCGGACAGAGGGGGGGGAGCGGAGGGAGACCCCAAAAAGTAGGGGGGAGGGGACCCCTGGGTGTGGGGGCGGACTGAGGGGAGGGAAGGGAGACCCCCAAGAAGGAGGGCTGAGGGGACCCCTGGGTGTGGGGGCGGACTGAGAGGGGAGGGAAGGAGACCCCAAGAAGGAGGGCTGAGGGACCCCTGGGTGTGGGGGCGGACTGAGGGGGAGCGGAGGGAGACCCCCAAGAAGGAGAGGCTGAGGGGACCCCTGGGTGTGGGGGCGGACTGAGGGGGAGGGAAGGAGACCCCAAGAAGGAGGGCTGAGGGGACCCCCTGGGTGTGGGGGGCGGACTGGGGGGGGAGGGAAGGGAGACCCCCAAGAAGGAGGGCTGAGGGGACCCCCTGGGTGTGGGGGGCGGACTGAGGGGGAGGGAGGAGACCCCCAAGAAGGAGGGCTGAGGGGACCCCCTGGGTGTGGGGGGCGGACTGAGGGGGGAGCGGAGGGAGACCCCCAAGAAGGAGGGCTGAGGGGACCCCCTGGGTGTGGGGGGCGGACTGAGGGGGGGAGGGAAGGGAGACCCCCAAGAAGGAGGGCTGAGGGGACCCCTGGGTGTGGGGGGCGGACTGAGAGGGGGGAGGGAAGGGAGACCCCCAAGAAGGAGGGCTGAGGGGACCCCTGGGGGTGGGGGGCGGACTGAGGGGGGGGGAGGAGACCCCCAAGAAGGAGGGCTGAGGGGACCCCTGGGTGTGGGGGCGGACTGAGGGGGAGGGAAGGAGACCCCCAAGAAGGAGGGCTGAGGGGACCCCCTGGGTGTGGGGGCGGACTGAGGGGGTGGGAAGGGAGACCCCAAGAAGGAGGGCTGAGGGGACCCCTGGGTGTGGGGGGCGGAGGGAAGGAGACCCCAAGAAGGAGGGCTGAGGGGACCCCCTGGGTGTGGGGGGCGGACTGAGGGGGGGAGGGAAGGGAGACCCCCAAGAAGGAGGGCTGAGGGGACCCCCTGGGTGTGGGGGGCGGACTGAGAGGGGGGGCGGAGGGAGCCCCTAAGCGCAGGCGCGGGGAGAGGGAGGGCTGGGCTTGCAAGGGTTAAGAGGAGCAGAGCTGGAGTCCTAGAGAGGACGGGAAGTGGAGGGGGGTGAAGGTCCTCCAGGGCTAAATCCCCCCCTCCCCCTCCCTCCCTGCCTTCTTCTTCTCTCTCCTTTGCAAAAGCCCCTCCTGGACTCGGGTGAGTCTCCTCTCTCCTCCCCCTGAGGGTGCAATGGGGAGAATGGGGTCCCAGGGGGGCAGGGAGGGGGCATGGGGGTCCCTGCTCAGATCATGCCTGGGGGGGAGACCCCCAAGTCGGGGAGCAGAGGGTCCTCCCTTGTCCTCTCTGCCAAGCCAGGGAGGGGCCACTTCGCAGGAAATATGCAGCTCTGCTCTTCCTTGGGATCCAGATGCTGCCTTCCTTTCGGGGGAGGGGGCTTTGAGTCAAGAAAATAAACCCCCTTCAGAGGGAGGGAAAAGTCACATTTAAGAACAGAGGCTGCAGCCAGACGGGAACATTCCCACGTGGGGGGAGCACAGGGAGAAGAAAAGCCCGTCTGCATCTGCAGCAGCACAACAGGACCACTTCCTCTGTCCCAGATGCAACAATATTATATTATACAACATAATATTACTACTACTACTACTACTAATAATAATAATAATAATAATTTATTTGTACCCCGCCCATCTGGCCGGGTTTCCCCAGCCACTCTGGGCGGCTTCCACAAAAACGAAAAAGACACTATTATGTCATACATTTAAAACTTCCCTGAGCAGGGCTGCCTTAAGATGTCTTCTGAATGTCAGGTAGTTGTTTATGTCTCTCCCCTGTCGCTCTCCACACCCAGGGCTGGCGCTGTGACCTTCCAACAACTGGATCTCACTCCCAAAGACACACTCTTCCATGGTCTCCCAAGACAGATGACTGCCAACCAGCCAACCATTCCCTCCTCACTCCTCCCCTCCTCCTGGTGCCCCTGGAAGTTGGCTTGAGGGCATTGGGAGGGTCCAACCCACCAGATGAAGGGAGAGGAGGTCCTTCCATCTGGAAAATGGGAATGCTTGCAAAGATTTACTTGAAGATGAGTGCCATATAGATAAAAAAACATTATTTTGTGGAATTCCCCCATTTACACAAAGATTAATGCCTATCATTTAAATACACAACAAAATTGTTACAGACAAGAACAGAGCAATGTGTAGAAAAATATCATCTTTGTGCTCCCTTTTTCTCTTAGGGTCCAGTGTGCTTTGAAGACGTAGCTGTTCCTTTCACAGAGGAGGACTGGGCTTTGCTGGATCCTGACCAGAGAGCTCTGCAGAAGGAAGTCAAGGAGGAGAATCCTGGGATCGTGGCCTCTCTGGTAAGGCTCCCTGCTGGATCATAAGATCAGTTTTGAAATTCCATACAGATCTCTGAAGGACAAACCTCCTCTATTTTGTTGTGTTTTTTTTTAAATAATTTTTTATTAAGGTTTTGAACAAAGAAAAAAGAAAAACAACACACACACAAAAAAACAATACAAAATTTAACAATAAAAACACAAAACTTAACAATTAAAAACAAACTCTCTTTTCCATTCCCAATTTTACATTACTTATTTTCTGGACTTCCTCATACCTCCCTCTTTTGTATTCCAATCCACATTATTTGTCCAGCAGTTTCTTTTCCACTTTTTAAACCCAATCTTTAATTCAATAAAATGTTAAAATATATAACTTCAACTTTTTTAAACCTAATCCTTATTCTTAATGTCATATACCTTTAAATTTTTCCCTTTTATTATCAAATTTCCATTTCTTTAAACATCTTTAATCTTGATCTTTAGTCTTAATCTATCTTTAACTTTAACCTGTACAGCTGGAAACCACTTATTTTCAATCCAACATCACTCTAACATTCCTTAATTTTGCAGTGTTTCTGAAGATAGTCTTTGAATTTCTTCCAGTCTTCCTCCATCGACTCTTCTCCCTGGTCACGGATTCTGCCAGTCATTTCCGCCAATTCCATATAGTCCATAAGTTTCATCTGCCATTCCTCCAGCGTGGGAAGTTCTTGTGTCTTCCAATACTTTGCGATGAGTATTCTTGCTGCTGTTGTTGCATACATAAAGAAAGTTCTATCCTTTTTAACACCATTTGGCCCACTATGCCCAGGAGAAAGGCCTCTGGTTTCTTAGGAAAGGTATACTTAAATACCTTTTTAATTCATTATATATCTTTTCCCAGAAAGCCTTAATCTTTGGGCACGTCCACCAAAGGTGAAAAATGTACCTTCAGTTTCTTTACATTTCCAACATTTGTTATCGGGCAAGTGATAGATTTTCGCAAGCTTGACTGGGGTTATGTACCACCTGTATATCATTTTCATAATATTCTCTCTTAAGGCATTACATGCCGTAAATTTCATACCTGTGGTCCATAACTGTTCCCAGTCAGCAAACATAATGTTATGTCCAACGTCCTGTGCCCATTTAATCATAGCCGATTTTACCGTTTCATCTTGAGTATTCCATTTCAGCAGCAAGTTATACATTCTTGACAAATTCTTAGTTTTGGGTTCTAACAATTCTGTTTCTAATTTGGATCTTTCCACCTGGAAGCCAATTTTCCTGTCCAATTTAAATGCCTCCATTATCTGATAATAATGAAGCCAGTCTCGCACTTTGTTTTTAGTTTTTCAAAACTCTGCAATTTCAGTCTATCTCCGTCTTGTTCCAAAATTTCCCAATATTTCGGCCATTTGACCTCCATATTGACCTTTTCAAGGCTTTCGCTTCCATTGGTGACAGCCACCTTGGGGTTTTGTTTTCTAACAAATCCTTATATCTTAACCAAACATTGAATAGCGCTTTCCTGACAATGTGGTTTTTAAATGCTTTATGTGCTTTGACCTTATCATACCATAGATATGCATGCCATCCAAATACATTATTGAAACCTTCCAAGTCCAAAATGTCAGTGTTTTCAAGAAGTAGCCATTCTTTCAACCAGCAAAAGGCTGCTGATTCATAATAAAGTTTAAGGTCTGGCAGGGCAAATCCACCTCTTTCCTTTGCATCTGTTAGTATTTTAAATTTTATTCTAGGCTTCTTGCCCTGCCAGACAAATTTAGAGATATCTTTCTGCCACCTCTTGAAACAATCCATTTTGTCCACAATCTGCAAAGTTTGAAACAAGAACAACATTCTAGGCAATACATTCATCTTTATCGCAGCAATACGGCCTAGCAGTGAAAGCTTCAAATTTGACCAAATTTCTAAATCTTTTTCACTTCTGACCAACATTTTTCATAATTATCTTTAAATAAATTCCCATTTTTTGCTGTCATGTTAATCCCCAGGTATTTAACTTTCTTGACCACTGTTAAACCTGTCTCATTCTGAAACCTCTCTCTTTCAAACGGTGTTAAATTTTTCTCTAAAACCTTGGTTTTTGATTTGTTCAATTTAAATCCTGCCACTTGACCAAATTCTTGAATCAGTTCTAAAACCCTTTTTGTACTAGATTCTGGCTCCTGTAACGTCAATACTAAGTCATCTGCAAATGCTCTCAATTTATAATGTTTAATTCCGACCTGTATACCTTTAACCATCTGGTCCCTTCTGATCATATTCAGCAGAACCTCCAGGACCGAAATAAAAGAAGTGGGGAAATTGGGCAACCTTGTCGTGTCCCTTTTTCAATTTTAAGTTCTTCCGTAACAACATTATTTACAATTAGTTTAGCCTTTTGTTCTGAATAAATTGCACTTATACCATTCTCAAAACCTTGGCCTACCCCCATACCCTGAAGGTTCTTCTTCATAAAATTCCAAGAAATATTGTCAAAGGCTTTCTCCGCGTCTACAAATATCAACACTGCTTTAGTGTTAATATTCACTTCTAGTTTTTCCAGGATATCAATTATATTCCTCAAATTATCAGACAAATGTCTTCCTGGGAGAAAGCCCGCTTGGTCTTTATGAATCTCTTCCAACAGCACTTTCTTAAATCTCTTCGCCAAAATATCTGCAAAAATTTTATAATCCACATTAAGTAATGATATAGGGCGGTAGTTCTTAAGTTGTGTCTTTTCAGTCTCTGTTTTTGGTACAAGTGTAATGTACGCTTCTTTCCACGACTCTGGTGCCCTCTTCCCCTCCATAATTTCGTTGCAGACCTCTTTCAATGGTTGGATTAACCATTCTTTTAAAGATCTATAGTATCTAGAGGTCAAGCCGTCTGGTCCTGGAGATTTACCCAGTTGCATATTTTGAATGGCACCTTCTATTTCCTGTTCAGTTATTCTGTCGTTCAAAATTAGTCTCTTTTCTTGAGATATTTTTGTAATCCATTTGTTTTCAAAAATTGGTCTAAATCTGTTTCTTTCACTGGCCCTTGAGTATATAGTCTTTTAAAATACTTCTGGAAACAACTTCTAATCTCTGCAGGGTTCTGTATATTCCTTCCTTCCACTTCTAGATTCGTAATCGTATTTAATTTTTGTCTCTTTTTCATTTGCCATGCCAACAATTTACCACATTTATTAGCCGATTCAAAAGTCTTTTGTCTCATTTGTTTAATCTTCCATTCTATTTCCTGATTCATTATTTTCATATATTGTACTTGATGTAACTTTAACTCTCTCAGAATCTCTTGAGATTTGGGATTTACTCGCAGTCTTTTTTCACATTCATTCATTTTATTCATAATTTTATCCTTCTTTTCATTTTGAGTTTTTTTCTTTATCGCATTCTGTTGTATTAGGAACCCTCTCATAACAGCTTTACTTGCGTCCCAGATTACTCTTTTCTCCACGTTGGAACTGAGATTTATCTCGAAGTAATCTCTTAGAGTTTTTTGGGCCTTCTTAAGAAATTCTTCATCTCTGAATAAGGTGTCATTCATCTTCCATCTGAAGGAGCCAGTTGGTGTTAGTCTCATTTCCATCTTAACAGCATTATGGTCGGAGCAAATTTTCGGGCAGATTTCCACCTTTCTTGTCTTTGGTGCCATTCCTCTAGTTATCCAAATTTGGTCAATTCTTGTCCAAGTCATTTTGGCTTCAGAAAAGAAAGTTCCCTCTTTTGCCAAGGGGTTTCTAATTCTCCAAATATCCACTAAGTCCAAGTTGTCTGTCATGTCAAAAAAGGTTTTCGGTAGTCTACCATCTTTGGTGACTACCTGTCTTTGTGCCTTGTCCATATAAGTAGATACCACTCCATTCATATCTCCCATCAAAATCATGTTGTAATCCATATGGTCCATCAAGGTCTCATGCAACTTCTTTTAAAAATCAGATTTCCCATCATTTGGTGCGTAAACTCCTACAATCAAAAATTTTTCTCCTTGTGTTTGAATTTCAATTGCCACAAATCTTCCTTGGTCATCCTTAAAAACAAATTTTGGTGATAAATTGTCTTTTGCGTAAATCACAACCCCTCTCTTTTTAACTTTATCTGACGAAATAAATTCCTGACCAAGTCTTTTATTTATCAACAATTTCCTGTGTAATCTTGTTATGTGTGTTTCTTGTAAACAAATTAGGTCCAATTGTTCCTTTTTTAATATATGAAATACTGACTTCCTCTTCTGAGGGGAATTCAGACCCCGACAGTTCCATGTTAGAAGTTGCAGGGCCATGATGTTATTGTTTTAGTTCTCCTCCTACTGCACCTAGTGCCTGTTCCTCATCCGTCGGTGGTATCCCTTCTTTCGAAAGGTCTTTTGGTTCCGGAGATAGTTCTTTTTGTAGGTCTTCTCCGTGGTCTCTACAAAATTTGTCTTTGTCGTCTTCTGATCTTATTTTCCTCTTCTTTCCTTTGTAGCTAAAAGACAGGCCTTGAGGAAGTTCCCACCTGAAATTGATATTGTTCCTTCTCAGCAGGATAACCAAGTCTTTATATTTTGATCTGAGATCCAGAAGATATTTCGGAATATCTTTGAATATTTCCACCCTTGTCCGATGGATTTCCAGTGCCTTCTTAAAATGTAGGCCCAAAATCTTATCTCTCTCTTCTTTTGTTCGAAAAGTAATCAGACAGTCTCTCACCTTCTTCTCTCCTCTTCTCCCAAGTCTAAAGGCATTTACTATTCTGAAACTGTCTTTTACCAATTCTGGATCCCAAAAGTCCAAAAATTCCTGCGTGAGAAATTCAGCTAGATTGTCCTTTTCCACCTCAGGTACCGATCTGACCCGAAGGTTCACTTGCTTCTCCTTCAAATCTATCATAGACAGAGTTAGTTTGTGGTCTTCCAATTGTTTATGCAGTGTTGGTAATTCCTCTTGAACCTCTTTAACTTCCGTAGCAGAAGTTGTAGCAATTTCTTTAGCCTCTTCAGCAATCTGGCGAATTGAGGCCGATTCCTCTAATAATTTCTGGATAGTCTCTGTGTTAGTATTTACTTTTTGGCCCAAATTATTTATACTTACTGTATTCTGATTAGTACTTGCTGTATTCTGGTTAATACTTGCTGTATTCTGATTAATACTTAATGTATTTTGGTCAATCTTCTCAGAAGCCTCTGCTACTTGTTGACTTATTTTATTCAAAGATTCATTAACTTTGGCCAAAACATGAGCAAAGGCTTCTTCACTTGTCGTACTTTTTACCTTTGATTGTGCCGATGAGGTTGTTGATGAGGTTCCAGAGGGGCCTGAGGCCGAAGCTCTCCTTTGTAATCCTTCTTCTGTGCGAAGAATCTTCCCAGATCTTGTGGTCAAAGCATCCGCTTTCTCTTTCCCCTCTGCCATTCCTTAGATAACTCCAAGGTCAGTCACGTATTTGAAGTTAAACAGTGGAAATTTCCTAGCCAAGCAGTGTGAGAACTCCTCAAGTCTGCTACAGTTTCAATTGTAACAAATTGTAACAGTTCCAAGTTCCACTAGGGGGACACTGTAACAGTCATAAAAGTTCTTGGATACTTTAATTCCTTTTTTTTTTCAAGCCCCCCTAGTTTTTTCAGAACAGAAGCAGTCTATTCAGAATTGTTAACTTAAGACCAGGAGGTTGAGGGGTGATATGATAGCCATGTTCAAATATATAAAAGGATGTCACATAGAGGAGGGAGAAAGGTTGTTTTCTGCTGCTCCAGAGAAGCGGACACGGAGCAATGGATCCAAACTACAAGAAAGAAGATTCCACCTAAACATTAGGAAGAACTTCCTGACAGTAAGAGCTGTTCGACAGTGGAATTTGCTGCCAAGGAGTGTGGTGGAGTCTCCTTCTTTGGAGGTCTTTAAGCAGAGGCTTGACAACCATATGTCAGGAGTGCTCTGATGGTGTTTCCTGCTTGGCAGGGGGTTGGACTCGATGGCCCTTGTGGTCTCTTCCAACTCTATGATTCTATGATTCTATGATTCTATGATTCTATGATTCTATGAAATATATTCACATAAATTGTCCAAACTTTTATTTCTTGTGCTGGACTAGCTGTCAAAATGTATTGCAAGACAGTACCTCTCTTTCTTTCCTGAGATCTGGAGATCCTTTCCCAGGGAGTTGAGTGGTGGTTCAATCCCTTCTTTTCCACCCTTTATGAAGAAATCACATCCACAATTCTCCCCCTTTTCCCTCAATTTGAAAGGGGGAAAGTCCAGGTTAGATGATTGGATTAAAGTCCGCTAAAACGTACTTTCCAGTTGCTTCCGCTTTCAAGTTCAATGCTTTATTTTATCTACAAATAAAGAGGCTGACTTCCTTTTTAAGCCTCTTTCCGTTTTCGGCCAGATTCCAATTTTATACAGTTCCAATTTAAATTGTATCCTACTCACGGATCGTTGATTTTCAGGTCCGGATTTTAAGGAAGAAAGGCAGCGCTCTCCGATCAACAGCTTGCGGCTTCACACCACGAACGAGCAGACAGCCCACAGCACAGCGCTCTCCCCGCTCCGCTTCAAAGCCCGTTGCCGGGCTTCCTACCGGGTTGGGGGGGGGCGCCAAATGTGCCCGCTGGGTCCCAGGCTCACAGGCTTCTCCCGCCTGTGATTTTTAGGGGTCCCCCGCTACGCCGAAAGCGGGATCCGACCCTTAATTCGTAGTGAGATTTCCTCCGGTGGAGGAAATCCACCATTAATCGCTGGCGCCGCCTCCGGAAGTCCAAACCTCCTCTATTTTGAGGGAGCCCCATAGCGCCGCCTACAGCATCTGAGATGTTAACACACCCACAACTCTCCATAGGAGATGTATCTCCTGTTCTGTCTGGGAATATTCTTCCACCAGTCCTGCCTTTTCCAACCGTGAGGAGGCTGGTCTGAGCTGCCCAAGCCTTCTTCAGTGTAGGCTTCAGAGATATTAAGGACATGGAGGTACATCCTGTCTAATTTTCTGTTTCCCTTTCTGCATCTGTTTTTGGTTGAGCAAAGAAATGACTGAGCTTGGAGATGGAGCGGATTCCATGACTGAGCCAAATTAAATCCATCCCTGGAAAGAGCCAGGCTTTTCGAATCTCCGGGTCCCATAAATAAGTTAGCTAATACCAGCCAAAAAAGGCAGTAACTCCCTTCCCTTCTTCCTCTTTCACAAACATTCATTTGCATTGTTCAGTCATTTCAGCCTCAATTTCTTTCTCAGGCTAGGATTGTTATTATTATTATTATGATTATTATTATAGATATCAGGAAACTTGATGAGGAATTAAGGGGAAAGACAGTGTTGACCCAGAGTAGTTACAAAATGTATGTTCTCTCCCGAGTGCCACAGACCCTCCTCCAAAGAGAGCTTCTCTGAAGAAAGCACAAGCAAAAATTACTCCATTTTACATGAATAAGGAAAATGAGGAGGTGGCTAAGAAACAGCAGGAGCCAGATCCTATTACTGACCTTATAGGATCTCTCAGCAGCTCTAAGGATGAGCAGAAAGAGGTTTTGGGCCCAGGCAGCTCAACTGCTAAGTCATCTCTGGCACTGAGACCAGGAGCTCAAGCGACTCAAGGCCAAATTCAGGCTAAACAAGTAGAGGAACTAATGTTAAAAATTACAAAATAGTGCAATATTTAAAAAAAGTTGACTTTAAAAACTTTTGAACCTGCTTGAGAGCAGCTCATGCTCTGGGTCCAGACAGAACACTAAGAAGCTTGTACTATTCTAGAATCTGCACACCAGATCCCTATATCAATATGAAACGATATGCAAGGTTATCAAATGGTCTGATGTCCTGTCAAAAGCCAAAACCAAACCAACTAGGGAGAGGGTTTTCATAAAAAGGAATTGGAAATGGGTGCTGTCTCAAAATAAGCTACTTCTCTCAAGCTACCCTAAGCCTTTGGGAATCTTGTCACAAGAGGAGCGTAAAGTTTGTGAAGATGGTGTATAAGCACAGAGAATATCTATGGAGGAGTGGTGTATCAGTCTCAAGATTATTCCAAAATGTGGCATCACCAGCTCCTCTGCTTCCACATACAGCAACACCTCCAAAAGTCCTCGATCCAAGGCAGACTTTCCTGCTTTAGTTGACAAAGATTCTGCAGGTGACAATCCTGACTAGTCAGCTGACCTGGACCCCAAGGAACCCCTAACTCAAAGCCCCGGGGTCTTTGCAGTTGAGGAATCTGGGGAAGGACCTACTTGACAGAACTGAAAAGAATTGTTTACATGCCTTCTGTGCTCTGCCACAAGACGCCCAGAATGAAATATTCTCCAGATTTGACCTCTGACGTTCCTGCCTAATGAGTTTGAAGAAGGAACACAAGGGCTCATGCAAGCAAAACTTGACCCTTTGTGCTCCAGATCCTGCCCACCAGATATTCCACCGTGAGTTGAATTTATGGGCTGAAAAGCCACCTCCTCCCCCCACCAGGTTAATGAACCCTCTTGCCTACCAATTGGAGCTTCCCCAAAGATTTGGTCCCCATGCAAGAGGCAAATATGGCCACAACGCCTGCCTGGCTTGCAATGAGAGAGCTCAAAGATTGTGAACTGGGCTCTGCATACAAAGAACCAAGCATGCAGGCACCTACAGTACATGTACAGTGCTACCTCGGGTTCCATACGCTTCAGGATACAGACTCCGTGAACCCAGAAATAGTGCTTCAGGTTAAGAACTTTGCTTCAGGGTGAGAACAGAAATTGTGCTCCAGCGGCACAGTGGCAGCAGGAGGCCCCATTAGCTAAAGTGGTGCTTCAGGTTAAGAACAGTTTCAGGTTAAGTACGGATCTCTGGAACGAATTAAGTACTTAACCTGAGGTACCACTGTAATAGCTACTGTGCTATTTTCTGCCCATGCTCTGGGGTTGCAGTTTTCAGGCTTGGGGACAGGGTGGTGACTGGTTTTTGCACCAAGTTGTGTTCATAAGCCCCACTGAGTTCAAGGGTTCCACCTTGAGGTCACTACTGGACAGACCCTGCCAGCCTTACGAAGTCGGGTGATTAGCAAACAGGGGAAACTGGAACGACAGGAGATGTTTCGAAATGGGGCTTCTGTTGGGAAGGGGCTGCCCCATTTGTGCTTCTCCAGGGGCAGGAGAATATCTAGGGCAGGAGAATCCCTGCCGGGCCTCTGAGGCTCCCTTTGCTTCTTCCTCTCTCCCAGGACCCTGCAGCTTCTTTTGGCTCCTTGACTCAGGAAGGATGAAAGAGACGGATCCTGTCAAGCTAGAGGAGATGGAAGAGGGAAGATGGACGGATGACCTGGTCCGGCTGTCTCCTGCATCCCTCCCCACAACCTCTGAGCACTCCCTCCCAGGGACCTCCGAGAGATCTGGTGAGTCCCAGGGGAGGGGAGATGGGGACATGGAGGGATGGAGCCGGAGAGGAATTGGGGCTTGCTCAGCTTGAGGGTGGGGGGGAGGCAGGCAAGCGGATGGAGATGGAGAAGGGGAGCACCTTTTCGGGCTCCCCCGCCTGCCTGCCTGCCTGCCTGCGCCTTTGTCATCTGCAGGCAATTTGAGCTAGGAATAGATCACAGCTCCCCGGCCACCGCGATGTATTGGAAGCTCAAAAGGTCTAAAACCAGTTCTGTGATCTGAATGCCCTACCAATTTCAGACAACTCACTGATCCATCGTGCAGCACTGGACTCCTTAAGGGAACCTGATCCTGCTGTGCAGTGAGAACTCAGATGGGGCCTCCGTGTGTTGCCTTTTTCTCTTCTTTTTGTATAACTTTTATTAGCTTTATAAAACAAGGAAGATAGGAATAATAGATGATACAAATATGTAGGCTGTGTCTGTATATCTCAAACATAGCAGAATAAATTTGCAGGAGTATCTATAACATATAGTTCATCTTTTCTTGAGCAATATTTTGCCATATATTCATCAAAACATTTCCACTCCTTTTTAAATTTTTGATTCGACTGATTTCTTCTTATAGCAGTTAATTTTGCCAGAATTAAATATTCATTTAGTTTACAAATCCATTCCTCCTTTGTGGGTATAGTTTGTGACTTCCACCGAGCAGCAATCACTATTCTAGCAGCTGCACTTGTGGAATGTAATGGCATCCGCCACACTTTCCTGTGCCAACTCTCCGTGCCAACTGTGAGCCTTAAGCTGTCTTCCTGGCTCCAAGCCGAGTTTCGCAGCAGCGGTCGTGCCTTGGGTGGGTGATAAATCCAAGGCTGTACGCAGGCTTCTTGCTCATCTAAGAAGTCTTTAATCATTTACGGAAAAACATCATAAATCAACCTGGAGATCGAGCGGACATCTCCTCGGCTCGACAGCTAAAAACGAAAGTAACTCGCACACAAAGAAAGATTCCCGTATGTGAACAAGACCACACCTCAGAATGTCACACAGAACTGTTTAACCCTGTAAGTTCTGATTCTCCTCACAGTACTTGCATATAGAAAAATACTCCCCCCCCCCGTGGTATCTCTTCATCTCTCAATCCAAGGAGATATGTCTCTGGTTTCTTTGTTATTGATATTTTCAACATCTTCTTTAGTTCTTCGTGTACTACTATCCAAAATTTCTTAATTTCCTCACACCTCCACCACATATGTATTGTTGTTCCTATTTTTCCACAACATCTCCAACAGAGGTTGGATTTCAATTTGTATATCTTTGCCAGCTTAACTGGCGTTAAGTACCACCTATAGAACATCTTTACAAAATGTTCTTTAATTGTATATGAGGCAGTAAATCGTATATCCTCTCGCCAGAGTTTCTCCCATTGCTCTAGATAGATAGTATGTCCGAGATCCTTCAGTTGGTTAAAGGTATACAGGTTGGAGCCAAACACTACAAATTGAGAGCATTTGCAGATGACTTAGTATTGACGTTACAGGAGCCAGAATCTAGTACCAAAAGGGTTTTAGAATTGATTCAAGAATTTGGTCAAGTTGCAGGATTTAAATTGAATAAGGTAAAAACTAAGGTTTTAGAGAAAAATCTAACACCAATATAGAGAGAGAGGTTTCAGAATGAGACAGGTCTAACAGTGGTTAAGAAAGTTAAATATTTGGGGATTAACTTGACAGCAAAAAATGGGAACTTATTTAAAGACAACTATGAAAGATGTTGGGCTGAAGTGAAAAAGATTTAGAAATTTGGTCAAATTTGAAGCTTTCACTGCTGGGCCGTATTGCTGCTGTAAAATGAATGTATTGCCTAGAATGTTGTTTTTGTTTCATACATGGCAAATTGTGGACAAAATGGACTGTTTCAAGAGGTGGCAGAGAGATATTTCTAGATTTGTCTGGCAGGGCAAGAAGCCCAGAATAAAATTTAGAATATTAACAGATGCAAAGGATAGAGGTGGATTTGCCCTGCCAGACCTTAAACTTTACTATGAATCAGCAGCTTTCTGCTGGTTGAAAGAATGGCTGCTTCTTGAAAACACTGACATTTTGGATTTAGAAGGTTTTAACAACGTATTTGGGTGGCATGCATATCTGTGGTATGACAGGGTCAAAGCACATAAAGCATTTAAAAACCATATTGTCAGGAAAGCACTGTTTAATGTTTGGATAAGATATAAGGATTTATTGGAAAACAAAACTCCAAGGTGGCTGTCACCAATGGAAGCGAAAGCCTTGAAAAAGCTCAATATGGAGGTCAAATGGCCAAAATATTGGGAAATTTTGGAACAAGATGGAGACAGATTGAAATTGCAGAGTTTTGAAAAACTAAAAACAAAGTGCGAGACTGGCTTCATTATTATCAGATAATGGAGGCATACAATTTGGATAAGAAAATTGGCTTCCAGGTGGAAAAATCAAAATTAGAAACAGAACTGTTAGAACCCAAAACTAAGAATTTGTCAAGAATGTATAACTTGCTGCTGAAATGGAACACTCAGGATGAAACGGTGAAATCTGCTATGATTAAATGGGCACAAGATGTTGGACATAACATCATGTTCGCTGACTGGGAACAGTTATGGACCACAGGTATGAAGTTTACGGCATGTAATGCCTTAAGAGAGAATATTATGAAAATGATATACAGGTGGTACATAACCCCAGTTAAGCTTGCGAAAATCTACCATTTGCCTGATAATAAATGTTGGAAATGTAAAGAAACTGAAGGTACATTTTTTTCACCTTTGGTGGACGTGCCCAAAGATTAAGGCTTTCTGGGAAATGATATATAATGAATTAAAAAAGGTATTTAAGTATACCTTCCCTAAGAAACCAGAGGCCTTTCTCCTGGGCATATTCGGCCAACTGGTGTTAAAAAAGGATAGAACTTTCTTTATGTATGCTACAACAGCAGCAAGCATACTCATCGCAAAGTATTGGAAGACACAAGAGCTACCCACACTGGAGGAATGGCAGATGAAAATGATGGACTACATGGAATTGGCGGAAATGACTGGCAGAATCCGTGACCAGGGAGAAGAGTCGGTGGAAGAAGATTGGAAGAAATTTAAAGACTATCTTCAGAAACATTGCAAAATTAAAGAATGTTAAAGTGATGTTGGATTGAAAATAAGTGGTTTCCAGCTGTACAGGTTAAAGATAAGGATAGATTAAGATTAAAGATTAAGATTAAAGATGTTTAAAGAAATGGAAATTTGATAATAAAAGGGAAAAATTTAAAGCTATATGACATTAAGAGTAAGGATTAGGTTTAAAAAGTTGAAGTTATATATTTTAACATTTTATTAAATTAAAGATTGGGATTAAAAAGTGGAAAAGAAACTGCTGGATAAATAATGTGGATTGGAATACAAAAGAGGGAGATATGAGGAAGTCCAGAAAATAAGTAATTTAAAATTGGAAATGGAAAAGAGAGTTTGTTTTTAATTGTTATGTTTTGTGTTTTTATTGTTGAGTTTTGTATTGTTTTTTGTGTGTGTTGTTTTTCTTTTTTCTTTGTTTAAAACCTTAATAAAAATTATTTAAAAAAAAATAGATTAAGATTAAGGATTAGGATTAGGATTAAAAAGGTTAAAAGAATGGAAAATTGGTTTTTAATAGGTAAAAATTTAATGTTATATTATATTAAGATTAAGGACTGGGATTAAAAAGGAGGGAAAGGAATTGCTGGACTAACAAACTGAATTGGAATACAAAAGAGGGAGGTATGAGGAGGTCCGGGAAACAAGTAAATGTAAAAGTAGTGATGAAAAGAAGGAATTGTTTTTTAACTGTTTTTTCTTTTTTCTTTTTGAATTTTGTTTGTGTACTTTTCTTTATATTCTTGAATTTTTCTTTTTTGTTGATGTGATTTTTTCTTTATGAAACTTTAATAAATATCATTTTTTAAAAAAAGTATGTCCGAGATCCTGAGACCATTTAATCGTTTCTTTTTTCTTTATTTCTTTCTTTTTTTAAATGATATTTATTAAAGTTTCAAAGAATACAAAAACAAAAAATAAAAATACAAGAAAATACAAAATACAGAAAAAAGAATAAAAATTTTAAAATATAACAAAAAGAAGAAAAATAAAGAAAAACATACAAGATACAAACAGTTAAAAACACGTTAACTTTCCATAGCATATCTTCCTTACCCTTATTTCCCCGGACCTCCTCATACCTCCCTTTTTTGTATTCCAGTTCAGTTTGTTAGTTCAGCAAATCCTTACCATTAAGCTTTTACCCATTTGTAAACCTTTTTTCGTATCTCTTCAAGCATTACAGCTGGAAACCACTTAGTTCCTATCCAACATCCTTCTAAGATTCATTAATTTTACAATATTTCTGTAAATAGTCTTTAAATTTCTTCCAGTCTTCTTTCACCGACTCTTCTCCCTGGTCTCGGATTCTGCCAGTCATTTCTGCCAATTCCATGTAGTCAATCACCTTCATCTGCCATTCTTCCAGAGTGGGTAGATCTTGTGTCTTCCAATACTTTGCAATGAGTATTCTTGCTGCTGTTGTAGCATACATAAAAAAGTTCTGTCCTTCTTTGGCACCAATTGGCCGACAATGCCCAGAAGAAAGGCCTCTGGTTTCTTCAAGAAGGTATATTTAAATACCTTTTTCAGTTCATTATATATCATTTCCCAGAAAGCCTTAATCCTTGGGCACGTCCACCAAAGGTGAAAGAATGTACCTTCAGTTTCTTTACATTTCCAGCATTTATTATCGGGCAAATGATAGATTTTGCAAGCTTGACTGGGGTCATGTACCATTTAATCATCGTTTCTTTCACTTCTTCCTCCATCAATTCCCAGTCCAATAAAAGATTATAGGTTTTGGATAACAATTTCTTGTTGTTGTTTATCACTGTGACTTTAAATTTCGAATCTTCTTTGCAAATCCTTTCTTTTGATCCGAGTTGAATATACTTCTAAGTTGTATATATTGCCATCTGTCAATTTAAATTTTGACTTACCAGATTCAAATAACTTCTGATGGGGAGCGTTCAGGTGAAGATGTTGCTGTTTGCTTTCACAGACAAGGCGTGGACGTTGCTGGATCCTGACCAGAGAGATCAGCATAAAGAGGTCAAGGAGGAGAATCGTGGGATCGTGGACTCTCTTGGTAAGGCTCCCTGTTGGATCATAACATGTTGTGATTGCAGATGGAGTGGATTCCATGATTGAGCCAGAACAAAATCCATCCCAGATAAAAGCCAAGCAATATGTCAGTTAATACCAGCTGATACGGAAGGGGGGGGGCATGTCTTCTTCTTCACCTTCTTCGCTACAATATATCCATTTATTTCCAATTGCCAATGTCAAAAGGGACTAAAATCTATAAAATTCATAGAAAATCAACTTGCCAATTTGCTCAATTTCTCTAGGACTCCATGACACCTCCCCTGCCCTCCATAATCCCTCAAGCAAGGTGTCAAGACCCTAATCCTGTCAAATCGCTCTGCCAAGCCCTTCCTCCGGGCGATGCCAGGTGACAGACTATGCATACATGGACCATTGTCTTCTCAGGATGTGCTTATCTGCGCATATCTCCAGCTCTGCATATTCCCCCCTCCCTCCTCCATATGTTAATCCGGTGTAACCCAACCTCTTCCTAATGTATTCGTGATGTAATCTGTGTAACCCAACCTCTTCTTAATGTATTCATGATGTAACTGGGATGTATTTTGCACTGTATTCTGGGACATGGAGGGAAATTTCAAAAGTTCATGTCACCCCTTTCTCGCTGTTCAATCTCGTCTTGAACCTGTTGCGCAATAAACTTGGATCTCCTGGAACTTGCTCCCGTCTCCGGCTGAGCTCATTTTCTTCCGCAGGGACCCGCGGACTCAGTCCGACGAGCTGGGTGGCAGAGTAACCCCGCACCCAGATTTTACCGTAACAGTTGGCGCCCCAACGTGGGGCTTGCGGTTCTCCCGAGCTGCTGACCGGGGGCCCCAAAATCTTCAGCCGGCTCCGGGCCATTTTGCCTGGGAAGATCCTTTTGGACCCCCGGCCATCTTCCGGGCGGTAATCGAAAGCCCTAGGAGTTCAGCCGGGGAGCAAAGAGGGATCCAGCCGGCTTATTCATCGATCCCGGGATCATCGTAGAAGACACGTGAGTATAAGGAAAAGAAAATCCAGTGCACTGGTGGGAAGGGGTGGAAGTCTCCTGGCAACTGAATTCTCTGCCCTCCTCTCTATCGTTCCTTCTCACCTTTCTCTTGGTCCGGTTAGTGAGAGAGACCGTGGACCACCGCTCGACCCGAAAGGGGGGTTCTGAGCTCTATCTCTTTTTCTAAACCCTCCAGCCAGCCGCACCAATTGGGAGCCCGAAAGTAAGACGGAGAGAGCCGACTTGAAAAATAGCCGACCCTCCGCAACGGGCATCCCAGTTGAAAGCAAGGGGTTGGAGTTCTCTTTCCGAGCTTCCCGAGCGTCCTTCCTAGGAGGCAGGAAGTGGTCTGGCTTTCTGTATCAATCCCAGCCGCACTGGTCGGTGCCACGTAACACGTGTATCGTGCGTGAGCCCGCTTCCAAAAGCAAGGGGGATTTTCGGTTCGAAACTCTATCCAGGGATCACCCGATCTGGCACCGCACGGCACGGGCGTTCAGTAGGGCCCCTTTTCCTGAGATTGTGACGATAGGTAGGAGGTTGCCAGGAGGGATAGCCCATGAGGAATTGGGCGGGATTTGGCAGAGTGGAAAGGAACCCCAAGATTTGGAATAGGAAATAAGGAAAGGAATAAAGGGAAACCGGATAGTTAGAGCTCACTAAAACCACTAGGAAGTTGCCAAGCAACAAGAGATAGAAAAACCCTAAATAGCCCCCTGTACAAGTTAACCAAATCCCAATCAACCCCTCTCTTTCTCCCTTCTCTATCCCAGACACCCCCCCCAAAAAAGAAAAAACAACAAAAAGCAACAACAGCAACGCATGCATATATAAAGGGGTACCCAGTCAACCAAGCGTTGTGAGCCCCGCCAGTTTGATTAACTGGTGGTGTGTTCGAAGAGGCAAGGAGGCTCATAAAACCATGTTGGACCTTCCTACTAATTTCACTTAATGAAGCCAAAGGTAGCGGCCCAACTCCTTGCAATAACCAACTAAAGGATGAGAATATATATGTTTACATGTTGTCTGTTATGTGTGTTGTCTGTTAATACATATGAGAATATGTATGTTTACATGTCGTCTGTTATGTGTGTTGTTTGTTCCTTCTGTCTCTGACAGACTGCCTTTCTTAAGTGCACATAGTTTAAACTGCAAGCTTGCTTCAAAATTTTAAATCTAAGGAAGCCAGGCTGGACCTTGTCAATCCTAAATAAGACAAAAATGAGAATGAAGTGTGCAAATGTTTACCCCACCTCTTGCTTTGCCGCAACCTTTGAGATTGTGAGTCTACAGTCTATTTTGGAATGTGAAGTTAACCTAATGTTTCTGCTGCAAAAGCGTAGTTGAGCACAACTGCTCTCTCAAGCTAAAATGCAGTGTCTGTATTTCATTAAGCACATGCCTATGAAAATAGGTGTTCCTTCTAAGAAAATTGTTAATAAAAGGTAGAAGCTTCGATAGACAACAATTCTCTATCTATAGAGTCCAGTCCTGATATCAGTCTCTAAGATCAGCCAGGGTTTCCTGGCTTTTTATTAGAAAATGCCTTCCCCACTTGTTTCAGTCTCTTTCAGGTCCCCCCCCCCTTCTTACTTCCGTGCCGAGTGAATTTACTCCCGAGTAAGCTTCCTTCAACAAGGGAGGGGGGCACATTCTTTGCTAAAAGTACCCGACATCTCACTTTCCTATGTATCGTTATTCCTATGCGAGTTCAGAAACATTATTAACTTTTGTATCCCTTTTAAATCAAATCCAGGACTGTTTTTATTATTTGTGAGTGGTTATATCAACTGAAATAACTCTATGCTTATAGAATATTCTCTCCCAGATTCTCTTCCTATCTTATCTTAGGAAAACTGTTCTTCCTTTAAGATCATTTCTCTAGGAACTTGCACTCATTAGTCTAAGGAAGTAAACTCTCACTCAAACTATCTCAAGATCTGCTAAAAGGGTTCTGTGTAAAGTTGGGTACTTTTATTTTCCTCTTCCTTAGTACATGATAGGAGCATAGGTGTTTCCTTTCGCAGTTGTAAATCTGTACTTAAATGTGTATGTCTCTTTGGTAGTACAAATCTTGCTGTGAAATCTTGCTGTGAACCCTATATTTTGGAGGGTTGGACTAGATGACCCCAGGGTCCCTTTCAACTCTCCCAATTTGTGGCCGTGTGGAAGGACATGTGTCTGCAAACATTGGAGGGTAATTGTTAAATTCTGGTGTGGTGATGGAGTTGAAATTCAGCCTAGCTTTGCTCTTTAGTTTTAAAAGGTGTGAGGTGAAGCCTTGATGTTTTGAAGCACAACTGGTAATATCAAGCATTTGAGTGATTACAGTGTTTATCATTTTGTCTACTATTTAAAAATCAGACTTCAAAGTCAATTCAAAGTTTCAGCACATACAAATACATATGCGCCTTGACCAATAAATGACTGAGAATGTTAAAAAATCCTATGAATTCTGACTCTCTGGCCATTTTTTCCCATATATAAGGGCGTGGCATTGTTCCGCGAATGGCCAGAGGGATATTAGCCCTTTCCTGTACATAAAGGAAGCAGTCCCTTTGCTTGGGCTGCAATTGCTAGCTTTGGTGAATACTTGAATCGCTGAGTTTCTCTTTTTTGTTTTAAAATCTAACCCTATTTTTAAAATCTACTCCTTACCCTTCCCTTCCCTTATTCAAATGGTAATTTAGCCAAAAGATTCAACATTTTCAATAGTATAAAAGGTTTGCTGAGACATGAACTCTGCACATGCACAGAGGCTAGATCAGCTAAACAATCAAAAAAGGGGAGAGGAAAGAGAGAGAGAGAGAGGAAGGAGGGGAACTGTAAGGGGGGAGAGGAGGTTTCGAGAGCTTGGGCTGCAGGGAGAAACTTATCCAAATTTCCTTATGTAAAACTTGGAACCATTGAGGGAATTCACCCTTAATGTGTCCTTTGCTCCAGGGGCTACGTAAGACAAAAGGGTTAAGTACTAGCCCATCAAAAGTCAAGAGGTTTCCAGGTTTCAAATCTTAACATGCCAAATTCTTTTCACAGGTAAATATCAAAGCGCTCCCACTGTGAGTTCCACTCTTGACTAGTTCTCCCACCCCCAATGGGATTTAACTTTTATAACAGGCTTTGTGTGCATTATAGGAACAGCATTCCTGACAGAGATTTTCAAAGGAAATAAAAATTTCCCTTTAAAACAGGATACGTGAACTCGGACCCACATAAGCAAAATGTTTAATAATTTGCCAATTGTGTTCAAATTAACAAAGGTTTTATCCCTTCGTTTCTTCCACAGCCAAACTAAGTGAAGGAAATTAAATGTAAATGATTATAATATTTAAATGGATAAAATGCCTAACTATGAGTTTGTATTTACAGCCTCCCAAGAAGAAAATTTTAGAATATTCTCTCCTTTCTTGACTATTATCTTCCTCCTTAAAAAAAAAAAAAAAAAAAAAAGATCAACAACAACAACTAATTATGTCTTCAGATCTCAAATCCCCCTGCAGGCCTATTTCCAAAGGATGCTTTGCGGGAGACCAAAATATTAAGACCATCTCCTCACCAGCTAAGCAGCCTGCCAATGCATCACAGTAGCCACAACAATTTCTTCCCATAAAAGACTTGAGAAACTGACTAATTTTGAAGGAAATGCCCTTGTGCCCAAGTTTGGAAATACATGTAAAAGCAGCAAGAATTGTCTCAAGATCACATTATTGCCTCAAGATATGGTGTAGAATTAATAATTTGTACGTTTTGTGTATTATGTGTTATTATGTAGGAATGCTGAAATGTGTCTGATAATGTGTTATCTCCACAAAGGGGGCAAAAATTTCTGTGTGTAATTGTTTCTGTATAATGTAGGATACATAACTATGAACAACAGAAGGATATGGCTTACACCCCAAGGTTTTTTTTTTTCCATGGAGGATTCTCATATATTACATGCTTTCCGATAAAGCAGGCTATATTTAGATTAAGTCAACTGATGATCATATTTCCTTGTCCCACCTGGCACTCTGCAGAGTGTCAACCTTCCTTACCCATTTATTTATGTATTTAATGTTTTTCTATACATGAAGTTCCCAGACTTTTTACTATTTCTTTCTTTCTGTTCCAGAAAACTATTTCAAATCTCTTCTATGACTTCTCTGTATCACTTGCAGATTCAGTACTGTCTTTAAGTAGCAATTGTTCTGTATTTATTTATTTATTAATCTTGGTTTTCCCGTATAGCTGTGAAATTAATCTAACCACAACCAAGTATTATTATTGGAACCATATTTACAGGTAGCTTTGAAGCAACGCTCTTTATTATTATTTGAGATGTTTTGATTAAAATGCCAAATGAAAATGGGTGTAGATCATGTCCCAAATTTTATTTATTTATTTGAGGACACGACTACCATATGTAGAATAAGGTTCCTTCACTTTCCTTACATCTCCAACATATTATTATTATTATTATTGATAACAAGAAACGTGTATATGCCTTGATGTAGCAGGAATGGTCCCTTATAGAGTTAAATTGACTCATTTGGACAAATGCCCTTTTAAAGAATGGTTTTGGTTTAACATACTGGTTTTGAAAAGTTGAGAACCATGGGGCAAGATAAATTCAAATTGGACTCTGCTGGAATTGGGCACGTGTATCCAGGCTGCAACTAGCTTTTGGTCCTTTAAGAGCAAGTGAGCAACTTTCCATGAGTGCAAGACCAGAGCCTGCAATAATAAAACCCCATAGAAAGGCCAAGGCAAAGACATCTCTCTCATGATATGCCCAAGCCTGTGCCAGCTATGGTGAGTGCCAGGCGACATGGTTAAATGAAAGCCCTGAGGGGATTCAACAGGATGTGTTACTGTACCACTATGCCGGTGTGAGACCACAGAAGAGCTAGCTTGGCACCTGAAAACACAAAACGGTGGGGCTAAAAAGCAAACTGCATTTTTTTTCAGTCAGTAGTGGACCTTCCTGCTAAATGTAAAGCATACACCACTATTGAAAATGTTTCTCCCAAGAGCTAGAATGCCACAAGTAATTTAGTAACAAAATACAACAGGTGTTCTTTTTATGTAATTTCCTATATCCAGCTATCTGCACTGCTATACTTGCAAATGACCGTAAGAGGCATGGCTTGCAAGTCCCCTTCAGGTTTGCATAAACCCACGCATCTGGTACGGTAGATACCAAGTTATTATTTAGCGCATATCTATATAACACGCGCGTACATTGTATTCGTACATTGTATTCGTCCGTGTTGTTCCCTCTTTTGCTACCCTGCTCAACCCACCTTCTTTTCCATTAGAGCCTATTCCCACTCACAGGGCACCTCTACATTCACCGAGATTTAGGGTGCGGAGAAAAGATTTGCAAGTTCTTACAGAACTTTAATGCAAATCTATCTCCGAATGGGGGACTGATACGGAAGGGGGGGCATGTCTTCTTCTTCACCTTCTTCGCTACAATATATCCATTTATTTCCAATTGCCAATGTCAAAAGGGACTAAAATCTATAAAATTCATAGAAAATCAACTTGCCAATTTGCTCAATTTCTCTAGGACTCCATGACACCTCCCCTGCCCTCCATAATCCCTCAAGCAAGGTGTCAAGACCCTAATCCTGTCAAATCGCTCTGCCAAGCCCTTCCTCCGGGCGATGCCAGGTGACAGACTATGCATACATGGACCATTGTCTTCTCAGGATGTGCTTATCTGCGCATATCTCCAGCTCTGCATATTCCCCCCTCCCTCCTCCATATGTTAATCCGGTGTAACCCAACCTCTTCCTAATGTATTCGTGATGTAATCTGTGTAACCCAACCTCTTCTTAATGTATTCATGATGTAACTGGGATGTATTTTGCACTGTATTCTGGGACATGGAGGGAAATTTCAAAAGTTCATGTCACCCCTTTCTCGCTGTTCAATCTCGTCTTGAACCTGTTGCGCAATAAACTTGGATCTCCTGGAACTTGCTCCCGTCTCCGGCTGAGCTCATTTTCTTCCGCAGGGACCCGCGGACTCAGTCCGACGAGCTGGGTGGCAGAGTAACCCCGCACCCAGATTTTACCGTAACACAGCCAACTAAGGAAGTGAAACCTATAGGACGGCCTCACATCTCATTCTCTTCAGATCTTCCTCTGTCACAAGCATTCATTAACATTGTTCAATAATCTGGAGCTCCCATTTCCTCCTGAGACTCTAATTAGCATCTCTCTTCATTGCAGATGGTGATGAATTGGAAGGGAAGAACAAGGGGGAGCACAACAGAATCCAGATAGCGGAGAAGTCATATAAATATTCAGAGTGTGGAGAGAACATCCGTCAAAGCTCCCAGTCCACCTCCCATCAAAGAAAGAGCTTCATTCGAAGGAATAGCCTCACTTCACACGAAATAACACAGAGTAGGAAGAAATCGTATCAGTGCTTGGAGTGTGGAAAGAGCTTCAATCGAAAGAATAATTTCACTGTGCATCAAAGAATTCATACAGGGGAGAAACCATATCAGTGCTTGGAATGTGGAAAGAGCTTTCGTCAGAGTGGTGAACTCACTTCCCACCAAAGAATTCATACAGGGGAGAAACCCTATCAGTGCTTGGAGTGTGGAAAGAGCTTCAATCAAAAGGGTCATCTCACTTCTCATCAAACAATTCATACAGGGGAAAAACCCTATCAGTGCTTGGAATGTGGAAAGAGCTTTCGTCAGAGTGGTGAACTCACTTCCCACCAAAGAATTCATACAGGGGAGAAACCCTATCAGTGCTTCGAATGTGGGAAGAGCTTTCGTGTGAGTGGTGATCTCACTTCCCACCAAAGAATTCATACAGGGGAGAAACCCTATCAGTGCTTGGAGTGTGGAAAGAGCTTCACTCATAGCTCCCATCTCACTTCCCATCAAAGAATTCATACAGGGGGAAAACCCTATCAGTGCTTCGAATGTGGAAAGAGCTTTCGTGTGAGTGGTGAACTCACTTCCCACCAAAGAATTCATACAGGGGAGAAACCCTATCAGTGCTTGGAGTGTGGAAAGAGCTTCACTCATAGCTCCCATCTCACTTCCCATCAAAGAATTCATACAGGGGGGAAACCCTATCAGTGCTTGGAATGTGGAAAGAGCTTCAATCAAAAGGGTCATCTCACTTCTCATCAAACAATTCATACAGGGGAAAAACCCTATCAGTGCTTCGAATGTGGGAAGAGCTTTCGTGTGAGTGGTGATCTCACTTCCCACCAAAGAATTCATACAGGGAGAAACCCTATCAGTGCTTCGAATGTGGGAAGAGCTTTCGTGTGAGTGGTGATCTCACTTCCCACCAAAGAATTCATACAGGGAGAAACCCTATCAGTGCTTGGAGTGTGGGAAAAGCTTCAGTTACAGCGCCAATCTCACTTCTCATCAAAGAATTCATACAGGGGGAAAACCCTATCAGTGCTTGGAATGTGGAAAGAGCTTCAATCGAAAGGGTCATCTCACTTCTCATCAAATAATTCATACAGGGGAAAAACCCTATCAGTGCTTGGAATGTGGAAAGAGCTTCAATCGAAAGGATTATCTCACTTCCCATCAACGAATACATACAGGGGAGAAACCCTATCAGTGCTTGGAATGTGGAAAATGCTTCAGTCATAGCACCGGTCTCACTTCTCATCAACAAATTCATACAGGGGAGAAGCCCTATCATTGCTTGGAATGTGGAAAATGCTTCATTCATAGCACCGGTCTCACTTCCCATCAAAGAATTCATACAGGGAGAAACACTATCAGTGCTTCGAATGTGGGAAGAGCTTTCGTCACAGTGGTGAACTCACTTCCCACCAAAGAATTCATACAGGGGAGAAACCCTATCAGTGCTTGGAATGTGGAAAGAGCTTCTGTCAAAGGGGGACGCTCACTTCCCATCAACGAATACATACAGGGGAGAAACCCTATCAGTGCTTGGAATGTGGAAAGAGCTTTCGTCAGAGTGGTGATCTCACTTCCCATCAAAGAATCCATACAAGAGAGACAACGTCTTAGTGTTTGGAATGTGGGAAAAGATTCATTCATTGCCCACCAAATAATTTATACGGGGTTGAAAATTGGGTCCCTCTCAAAGAGGGCTGCAGACAACCGACAGATTACAACTGGGGAATATTTCACACAGGAAACCACATCTGCTTGCATGGACTTTTGTCATATATGGATTTATAAAAGTGAAGATGAATCTTTGATCTTTGTAAGCTTCCCTTAGGGCTCAGGAGGAGCAAGCTTGGATTGTAGAGGAACCAAACAAGTATTAACTGTGAAATCTATCGCACAGTGTGGTCTCTTACAGAAGATTCTTCGGTTTGGGAAAATATCAGTCAGTTAAAATACATTACATGTGTCTTAATTTTAACTAAACAAAGGAAAGCTGGAAGACAGCCCAGAGTCCTGGAAGGTAAGACAGTGGAATGAAATAGGGCCTTCTGAGGAGGGACTGCACCGAAAAGAATTGAGGGACAACAGGAAGAAGAGCACAATTTTCATCATGCATGTTAATTTACATATAGATCTGTTAAATATGATGAAAGTTGCATGCCAGTGGCTGTCAAGATAAGATAAAGGATTAAGATCGGGATGATATTGGGAATAAATAAAAGAGAGAAAAGTAGGAACAAGAACAAAAAAAAAAAAAATAATCTCATCAATCTTTGACTTTTGTCTTTTGGGTTTCTCTGTTGTTATTCTGTCTCTCACAGCTACAATAAACCTACCATTAATATTGTGGACTGGCATTTCTTCGTCAGAGGGCAAAAAACCCAAATTTAGCAGGGGATCAAATACTTTCCCCCCTCACTCTAGATGTTTACACACACCCCTGGCTCTCGTTTGGAGGAGGAGTGAGAGGCGGAGGCTCTTTACTTCTAGAATGGCATTTCCACGGCACCTCCTTTCCTCCCAGGAGCTCCTCCTTTCACCCCCTTTCCAGCACTGCCTTGCTTAGTGTGGCAGCACCTGCCCTTTGGAACTCCCGCCTCTTGCAATAAAGCGCATGCCTTTGCTAGACTCTTTTCTGGCACCTGCTAAGAGCATACTTGTTTAGGCAAGCATAGTCAGATGCTTAGGAAGCTGAAGTAATTTTAATCTCTTTTAATATTTTAGCTTTTCTGTGTTTTAAAGTAGGCTTGTTAATTTTTATTGATTTTACTGCTGTGGTGTTGTTTATTTGTTTTTTGTATTGGTAAACAACTTTGCAGGTTGTTTAAAATAAATTTTAATAAATAAATAAACAATAAATATAAATAAAATAACACAAGCCAAAACACAATGCATCCTGTAGATTTAAGTAACTGTCCACAGTGGCCTACTTGTTATCGGAGGCCCAGAATCCACAATCCTTTGTAAGAAAATATGAAATAAAGTTAAAGCATTTTTGTAGGCCAAAAAAAGAAAAAGGTCAATATTGGGGAGGTGACAAAACTTTTCCACACCAGGTACCCCCTGACCTTGTTATGCCACTACCTGGGGTGCAGGGAATGCATGGGGGTCCCTGTTCAGATAATTCCTGGTGGGGGGAGACCCCCAAGTCAGGGAGCAGAGGGTCCTCCCTTGTCCTCTCTGCCAAGCCAGGGAGGGGCCACTTCGCAGGAGGTCTGCAGCTCTGCCCTTCCTTGGGATCCAGATGCTGCCTTCATTTTTGGGGAGGGGGCTTGGGGTCAAGGAAATAAACCCCCTTCAGAGGGAGGGAAAAGTCACCTTTGTGAACAGAGGATGTAGACAGATGAGAAGGTTTGAGATATACAGACTCAGCCTACATATTTGTATCATTTATTATTCCTATGTTCCCTGTTTTATAAAGCTAATAAAAGTTATACAAAAAGAAGAGGAAAAGGCAGCACACGGAGGCCCCATCTGAGTTCACACTGCACAGCAGGATCAGGTTCCCTTAAGGAGTCCAGTGCTGCGCGATGGATCAGTGAGTTGTCTGACATTGGCAGGGCATTCAGATCACAGAACTGGTTTTAGACATTTTGAGCTGCCAACACATCGCTTCGGGCAGTGAGCTGTGATCTATTCCTAGCTGAAATTGCCTGCAGATGACAAAAGTGTAGGCAGGCAGCCAGGTAGGTGGGGGAGCCCGAAAAGGTGCTCCCCTTCTCCATCTCCATCCGCCTGCCTGCCTCCCCCCACCCCCAACCTGAGCAAGCCCCAATTCCTCTCTGGCTCCATCCATCCAGGTCCCCATCTCCCCTCCCCTGGGACTCACCAGATCTCTCGGAGGTCCCTGGGAGGGAGTGCTCAGAGGTTGTGGAGAGGGATGCAGGAGACAACCTGACCAGGTCATCTGTCCATCTTCCCTCTTCCATCTCCTCTAGCTTGACAGGATCCGTCTCACTCATCCTTCCTGAAGAGTCAAGTAGCCAAAAGAAGCTGCAGGGTCCTGGGAGAGAGGAAGAAGCAAAGGGAGCCTCAGAGGCCCTGCAGGGATTCTCCTGCGCTAGATATTCTCCTGCCCCTGGAGAAGCACAAATGGGGCAGCCCCTTCCCAACAGAAGCCCCATTTCTAAACCTCTCCAGTGGTTTCAATTTCCCCTGTTTGCTAATCACCCCACTTCGTAAGGCTGGCAGGGTCTGTCCAGTAGTGACCTCAAGGTGGAACCCTTGAACTCACTGGGGCTTATGGACACAACTTGGTGCCAAACCCAGTCACCTTCCTGTCCCCAAGCCTGAAAACTGCAACCCCAGAGCATGGGCAGAAAACAGACGAGTAGCTAATACATGTAAGTGGCCCCATGCTTGGTGCTTTCTATGGAGTGTCCTGTTGACGTTCTTTGTTTTTTTTTTTTGTTTTTTTTTAAATAATTTTTATTAAAGTTTTAAACAAAGAAAAAAGAAAAAACAACACACACACAAAAAAAAACACAATACAAAATTTAACAATAAAAACACACAACATAACAATTTAAAACAACCTCTCTTTTACATTCCCAATTTTAAATTACTTATTTTCTGGACTTCCTCATACCTCCCTCTTTTGTATTCCAATCTACATTATTTGTCCAGCAATTTCTTTTCCACTTTTTTAAACCCAATCTTTAATTTAATAAAATATTAAACTATATAACATAAACATAATCCTCGTTTTTAATATCATATACCTTTAAATTTTTCCCAATCTTAATCTTTAATCTTAATCTATCCTAGCTTTAACCTGTACAGCTGGAAACCACTTATTTTCAATCCAACATCACTCTAACATTCCTTAATTTTGCAGTGTTTCTGAAGATAGTCTTTGAATTTCTTCCAATCTTCCTCCATCGACTCTTCTCCCTGGTCACGGATTCTGCCAGTCATTTCCGCCAATTCCATATAGTCCATAAGTTTCATCTGCCATTCCTCCAGCGTGGGAAGTTCTTGTGTCTTCCAATACTTTGCGATGAGTATTCTTGCTGCTGTTGTTGCATACATAAAGAAAGTTCTATCCTCTTAACACCATTTGGCCCACTATGCCCAGGAGAAAGGCCTCTGGTTTCTTGGGAAAGGTATACTTAAATACCTTTTTAATTCATTATATATCATTTCCCAGAAAACCTTAATCTTTGGGCACGTCCACCAAAGGTGAAAAAATGTACCTTCAGTTTCTTTACATTTCCAACATTTGTTATCGGGCAAGTGATAAATTTTCGTAAGCTTGACTGGGGTTATGTACCACCTGTATATCATTTTCATAATATTCTCTCTTAAGGCATTACATGCCGTAAATTTCATACCTGTGGTCCATAACTGTTCCCAGTCAGCAAACATAATGTTATGTCCTACGTCCTGTGCCCATTTAATCATAGCCGATTTTACCGTTTCATCTTGAGTATTCCATTTCAGCAGCAAGTTATACATTCTTGACAAATTCTTAGTATTGGGTTCTAACAATTCTGTTTCTAATTTTGATTTTTCCACCTGGAAGCCAATTTTCCTGTCTAATTTAAATGCCTCCATTATTTGATAATAATGAAGCCAGTCTCGCACTTTGTTTTTTAATTTTTCAAAACTCTGCAGTTTCAGTCTATCTCCATCTTGTTCCAAAATTTCCCAATATTTCGGCCATTTGACCTCCATATTGACCCTTTTCAAGGCTTTCGCTTCCATTGGTGACAGCCACCTTGGGGTTTTATTTTCTAACAAATCCTTATATCTTGTCCAAACATTAAATAGCGCTTTCCTGACAATGTGGTTTTTAAATGCTTTGTGTGCTTTGACCTTATCATACCATAAATATGCATGCCATCCAAATACATTATTAAAACCTTCCAAATCCAAAATGTCAGTGTTTTCAAGAAGTAGCCATTCTTTCAACCAGCAAAAAGCTGCTGATTCATAATAAAGTTTAAGGTCTGGCAGGGCAAATCCACCTCTTTCTTTTGCATCTGTTAAAATTTTAAATTTTATTCTAGGTTTCTTGCCCTGCCAGACAAATTTAGAAATCTCTTTCTGCCACCTCTTGAAACAATCCATTTTGTCCACGATCTGCAAAGTTTGAAACAAAAACAACATTCTAGGCAATACATTCATTTTTATCGCAGCAATACGGCCTAGCAGTGAAAGCTTCAGGTTTGACCAAATTTCTAAATCTTTTTTCACTTCTGACCAACATTTTTCATAGTTATCTTTAAACAAATTCCCATTTTTTGCTGTCATGTTAATCCCCAAGTATTTAACTTTCTTAACCACTGTTAAACCTATCTCATTCTGAAACCTCTCTCTTTCAAACGGTGTTAAATTTTTCTCTAAAACCTTGGTTTTTGATTTGTTCAATTTAAATCCTGCCACTTGACCAAATTCTTGAATCAGTTCTAAAACCCTTTTTGTACTAGATTCTGGCTCCTGTAACGTCAGTACTAAGTCATCTGCAAATGCTCTTAATTTATAATGTTTAGTTCCGACCTGTATACCTTTAACCATCTGGTCCCTTCTAATCATGTTCAGCAATACCTCCAGGACCGAAATAAAGAGAAGAGGGGAAATTGGGCAACCTTGTCGTGTCCCTTTTTCAATTTTAAGTTCTTCCGTCACAACATTATTTACAATTAGTTTAGCCTTTTGTTCTGAATAAATTGCACTTATACCATTCTCAAAACCTTGGCCTACCCCCATACCCTGTAGATTCTTCTTCATAAAATTCCAAGAAATGTTGTCAAAGGCTTTCTCCGCGTCTACAAATATCAACACTGCTTTAGTGTTTATATTCACTTCTAATTTTTCCAAAATATCAGTTATATTCCTCAAATTATCAGACAAGTGTCTTCTTGGGAGAAAGCCCGCTTGGTCCTTATGAATCTCTTCCAACAGCACTTTTTTAAATCTCTTCGCCAAAATATCTGCAAAAATTTTGTAATCCACATTAAGTAATGATATTGGGCGGTAGTTCTTTAGTTGTGTCTTTTCAGCCTCTGTTTTTGGTACAAGTGTAATATATGCTTCTTTCCACGACTCTGGTGCCCTCCTCCCCTCCATTATTTCGTTGCAGACCTCTTTCAATGGTTGAATTAACCAGTCTTTTAAAGATCTGTAGTATCTAGAGGTCAAGCCGTCTGGGCCTGGAGATTTACCCAGTTGCATATTTTGAATGGCACCTTCTATTTCCTGTTCCGTTATTCTATCATTCAAAATTAGTCTCTTTTCTTGAGATATTTTTTGTAATCCATTTGTTTTCAAAAATTGATCTAAGTCTGTTTCTTTCTCGGGCCCTTGAGTGTATAGTCTTTTAAAATACTTCTGGAAACAACTTC